AAAAAAACCCCCCCCCCCCCCCCCCCACAACACAACAGCAGTAACACACGCTTCTGGATAGGTCAAAATGTGTTTGATCACCCACGGGGGGGGCTGTGTTATCTCGTGTACCCGTGGGTCCTCTGGTCGTGTCTTATACTATGAATAAATGGACGACGCAGGTAGTCTTGTTGATCTGAATATCTCTTGTGTACGTATGCACATGCATGTGTGGGAAAATGGCATGTTATTGGAATCAGGGCGGTGAATGATTACACTCGCCTACAGCAGTACTTGCATAGGAGGGGACAAAGAAGGAAGGGCAGATCGACGCGAGCTTGTGAGAGATAGAGCTGTACTGCTGTCTTGAGGCCTGATCTCTTCTGTCTGTTTTTTGTCATGTTTGGCGCGTCGAAGTGGGAGAGCGGTGGGACAGGTATTGAATGTATCGTATGTAGTCATTCTTAATGATCTGCTTTGTCGAGTCTTCCTGCGAAGCTGGCTGCAGCGTAGGAACGTTCTTTTGACGCATTTTATTTAGGAGTTCTGCGTACAAGCAGTACGATCAGTGTTGATTTCTCCCGGTTTTTCTATTTCTCTTCGACGATAATCCCCAATGGCGCTGTACCTCGCGCGTTGTCTGTTTTCATCATCGCCACCTCGCTATGCTCCACACAGCAGTCGACGGCAGCTTCAAAGTTATCCCACAGCCTTCCGTCTCCAACTGCGGCATGCATTCTCTACATGCATTTACATTTTCGCAGCGAGGGTTCAGTCTCCCCTCCCTCCACTTTACTCTCGATCTACCGCTAAACGCGTCGTGCGCGCCGTAAGCGAAGTTGGGAGGTCGTTTTTTTTTCCTCTCGTGGCGCCTGTGTAGCGGCACAGTTTTCTCCAAGAAAAAATACAATCACAACATGCGTTCCACATGGGTGTCTCGCACAGGGTCTCCATACAAAATCAAGTGCCGTTGGGAACGTTGACAATTCACGCCCTAGGTGACCACGCCTTTGCCTGGTGGTGATCTGCGTTGCTGTTATTTCTGCAAGTTGAATGCGCACTAATGTATGGTTTCATACTGCAACACCTTGCTATCCGTTCAATCAGACACGTTGTACTTCACGTACCGGACCTCATGTCACAAACCTACCGGCGGACGATGACTGGATCTAATGTTCATGAAGTTCACCTAGAAAACGATCGACACTTCGGGATAAAAACAAAACACGAAACTCTCTGAGGAGGGGCTGACAAACAAAGGAGGAAACAGAGATCCCCCCCCCCAGCGCAAAAAACAACACGAACAATTGAACACGAATCGAGCAAGCGCGGATTGCCCCCGCCCCCCGCCCCGAATACATCACCGGGCTACCGTCGTCCCCCTCTCCCAGCCTTCTTTCCGGTGACTGTTGCCCACCCATCCGCGTCTACCCCTCCCGCCGCCCCCTCACCCTCAACCCCCCCTTCCCCGCCCATATCTTCGTCCTCGTCACTACTACTGCTGTCGTCCTCTTCTGCTCCGGGGCTTTTTACTGCCATGCTGCTCGCCACGGCCGACGACGGTTTCTTTCCGCTACCGGGTGAGGCTGAGGCGGCTTCCTTCGCGAGGAGGCGTTGTTCCTCTGCTCGAACAGCGTTGGCGAGCGTGTAGTCCAGACGGCCGCATTGCGAGAACATCTCCACCAGCATCATGGCCACCTGGCAAAAAAAAAGGAGTGGCGGAAGACAAAACATAAAATACAACAAATTGGTGGAATTTACGAAAAAACAGTGGTAGTCACGAAAACTGTAGTATAGCAGAGTCAGCGAGTTAAGGCGCACTAAGATCGCGCTGCCCGCACAGAGTAGTTGGCGGCAGAACCAAAGAACAAGAATTATCGAGAAGGATTCACAGATCTCAGAGGTGTCCAGGTGAGAAGTGCAACAAACAAGAGGGTTTGCCAACACATACGTACGCCGAGCGTAAACATTCGATGTTTTCGTCATTTCTTTGCGTTGTCCTTCGACAACGTTAGACACCCGTGTGCTCACGAAACAGAGAAATCAACGCGGTGTTCAATCGCACGTTTGAGGATTCAACGTGCGCCCCCGCGGTTACAATGCGTACCTGTGCCGGACTGTCATCCTCCGCGTAGGTACTGAAGTTGTCGTCAAGGAAGTCAGCAAGGAAGTTTTCCACCTGCTCGTGAAAGCACAAGATCGATTGAACACGAAGGAATACGAACGTATCCAACGGAAGGCTGGTCATCAGCGACATCACACAATCGAAAGCATAAATACCAAATCCGCAAAAAAGGACAGCCGAACACGGGTTCACGTACACCAGGATACCACCCACGTGACCATACGACAGAATACCGCCAAGAAACACCATGATAATGTCCGTCGTGCAAGTGAGAAGCAAAGAACAACATAGCAAGACCCTCGTCGCAGTCAATGCATTCACACACGTACTGCTGTAGCACCACCCATGCGGTCCAAATGCTCTGCGCTTACCGTTACCACAGCAGCGGCAGCTTTCCACGTAAAAATATGTGCAGCTGTGCCGATCTCTGCTACATCTATCTACGTGCACAAAGAGATGTGATGCGGATACCATCTCTCGCTTTTGTACCTCGTCCTTGTATATCTCCTTCTTAGTCTTGAACATGTTCATCACACCCTCCTCGAGAAGGGCCGCTTTGCGCTCCGAGTCTCCTCCTCCCCAGTTGTTTTCCTATTGTTGCCAGCAGTCCATGAGTTCGCCGGGCCAAAGTGTTTCAACCGGTTAACATAGCATCCCCCAATAGCACACCGCCGTCCGTACATAGTATCTTAGTATACCGACGAGGCTTGCAGCAGCCCACAGGCTACTCTCCCGCCATCATGTCAAAGGGAGCCGCGGGTGGGACGCTTTCCAGGGTTTTCTGCTACTGTACATTGTGTACTGCATAAGTTTTTTCACGGCCGGCCGAGCACGATCGTCGAAGCTACTGTACCCATGACACACGTGGAGACACGCTTACAGCAGTGCACTGCATATAACGTACACAGCCAGCTGATGATGTGACGTCATGACACGCAAAAAACATGCTGAGAGCACCAAGGGCGCACAGAAAAAAAAATCCGTCCCTTAACCCCCAAAAATGTTTTGGGCCCTTCCGGGGGGGGGGGGGGTACAAAGGTCTCGCCCCCCTCCCCCAAAACGCCACATAATTTCCTATATAAACAAGTCCATACTAAATCCTATATTTTAACACATATGATCAAGATTATTCCCTGACGAACTACTGTAAGGAAAATTGACCCTTGTTTCAAAGTCCTCGTATGGGGCAAGACTTTCATATGTTGGTCATATTATTTTTGAGATTTTTCTGCTGGCACTCTGGCCTTCTACAATTTCAACGTTTTTTCGTTTAGTACGTTTTTTTTCAACTCAACTGGCGAAAATGGGACAAAGGAAAACCGAGCTGCCACTTTGGGCCAAGAAAAACGAGCGAAAAATAAATAAATCGAAATAATTAACATTTTGCTCAAAGGTAGCTTTTGGCCGGGGCTCAAACCCGCGACATACGAAATAGACGTCCAGTCAGAGATATGGTTCGGCTCAGTGGTAATAGCAATCTACACCTTCCTGAACAAGGTCCTGCGTGCACGTTGTGCCGTAAACACCACCACACGCAAGTACACGGAATGGAGAGGGAGAAAGCCGAGAAAGCCTGTGTAAAAATATTTCCATGAAAAAAAAACTTGTTGTTGTCAACCCCTTGTTGTTGTTGTTGTTGTTGTTGTTGTTGTTGTCTTCGCATTAAAAACCGTCCCGTTCTCTCTGCTCAGTACCTTCTTCTGTCCGTACTAGTCTAACACTTGACGGGGTCGATTCCCGTGGTCACAGGCTAACTTACCCAAAAAAAAGCTATACGAAAATAAAATGGACCCGAATGGTCCGCAAGCCAATAAAAGTCAACGACAGATAGTCTAGGCCATTCCGCTCGCCTCTCTGCACGCTATGTGAGGTAACGCAATAGATTGGAAAAAGATAGAAAAAGGAAAAAGGAAAAGAAAGAGAAAGAGAAAAAGAAAAAGAAACGCCCGACCAGTACCTAACACATATCCTCTGCACCTTCCCAACATAACTATATGAGACACCCAAGACAGCTACCAAACTGTCTTGTTGAGCCTGTTACCCGCAGGGGAGATGTCCCTATATGCTGTCTGGGAAATCGTAGACATACAGGTACTTTCTGACGCTATGAATCCATTGCTAATCTGTCTCAGACTCTTTTCTATGATAGAGATGGTTTCGTTGTCATATTAAGAAAACAAAAAAAAAGGAATAGAGCAGAGAGCACATATCGTCTAGGTGTGGGAAATTGTGCGCCCTTGAGAGCACACATCCTTTCAGGATGCCTTGAGCCTCGTCGACTCTCCGCAATAAATAGCTGTACCTCAAACCAGCAAACGACGAGAGAACATTACACACGACACGGGGCGAGGATTTGGAGGCAAAACCGCAAGCAGGTAGGAGGTATGCAAATAGGTGCGGTGTGTGTGTAGTACCCTGTAATCCTGATCGTGCTACAAAGGCAGTATAGGGACCTTTCCCAGGAACGGCGATTCGCGCCGCGGCCAGCCATGCGTTCAAGAAACACATGAGTGTTCAGGTCCACAAGCCAACCACCAACGCCCATCGTGTGGTTCTTCCTCCATGTTTCATTGGCTTGTCCCGGGCTATCTGCGTTCGCAGCTACTGTACCATGATATATGTGAACTCTGCTGTTGCACGGGCACTCACCACGGCAAGCCTCAGCGCTGTCCACTGGTTCAACGCCGACTTCACGCCTCCCTGAAAGTTCCCCCAAGCATCCTGAAGCGACGACATCAGCGCACTCGCTCCAAACAACACCTCGGCAATTGCAGAAGGCGGGATGCACACACTGCTCTACCGAAGACAATCAACACGCACTTGTGCTTGTAGTATGATTGGTGCTCAGCATACCGATGGGGGGCCGCGGCCAGCATATTGAGCAGACCGCGTCACCCATCTTCGAGCCAAAGCCAGCGTGCGGCACGTCACGTACCCCCTCCTGCAGATGCAGATCGACAAGATCGTCAAAGATACGCTGCAAGGCACGATGCCAGGGAGACCAGCTGAACACGAGCGTTGTCACATCAACATATCTCAGATACGGCTTCGGATAAGTGAGTGCTCACCACACCCAAAGGTGCTTAGGAACGTATGTTGACTGCGCGCATCGAAAGGGCGGGTCAACAAGGCGGAGTTCTACCCGCTGGTGTAAGAGAAGGCGGATTCTGTGTTGCATGATTACAAGAAGACCGCAAGAAACGGCTAATCTGACTGCCTGTATGGGCCGAAGAAAACAGCCACCGAGCGCCGGAGGGGCTGATTGAGAGCGAGAAATAAACAGCAACCACTCCATGTAGTGGCCCTCGTTCTCTCCTCTGGTCGAATGTACGTAAATGATTTCCAAAATTCTCGAGGCGGGCGCAAACTATATGACACGAATCGAGTACAGTACGCCTTCCCTCTTTCTGCACCGAGCATTTTCGTTTTTCATTAGATTGCGACTACCACGAGTTTTGAGTACCACTCATCATGTATCTTGGAATCGATCTATTGAGCGGGGCGGCGAAAGCCGCCAGACCCCTTGTTGTATAGACGTATGTTTATCGTCGGCGATGCTCGTCCCAAGATTTAAGGTTTTGCTCCTCGCGTGTTGGGTGGCGCGTGCTCTGCGTCAGAGGTTGTAGAGAAAAGGTTGACTCAAAACCATAGATTAACGAGATTAACGAGTGCACAGGACCCGCTTGCCCATGTAAGTTGATACGGATTTGAAGTACGTACGACTCGCGCAAGCTGATGCAAGGCAGAAGGGGGATCGCCCTTCCTTCTACAACACACATACCAACATGATACACGAAACCCCTAGATTTATGTCGATCAATTTCTAGGGCTAAGTTCACGTAACATTGTGCTTCAGTTTTTTTTAGAACGGAGGAAGCGGGGGAGCGACGCTGCCAAAACATCATTTTCGGCTGTCTTCGCCGACCTGAGCGTGCCAACTTCACAATCACAACGAGAACGGGGCGATGCCGCGAGCTCGAGACTCCAAGGGCGAGCCGAGTTACAGCACCGTTAAAGCCGCATTAATTTCCGACTTCTCACCCGCACCAGAGGTGAATCTAAGCCCAGTACGAACGTCACCTTGCAGAATCACACCAGCCATTGGACAAGACTTTGTTCTAGAGCGTCAAGTAATCGACAATAGGGAGTACTGGTACTCTTACACTGACTGACGGCAGATTACTTTGTGGTAAATTTTTTTCCTGTTTCTGTTAGTTCATCGCCTTAATAGTTTGGAAAATATTCAGCGTTCACACGCACAGCATTTCTGCCGTGCACAGGAGCTCTAATCAATCCGTGGTCGTGAGATTATTTTTCATGTTCCATGGGTTTCTGTCTGGGAGCGGGGTGATCAAGAACTGTCAGGAAAGGAGTGTGCTTAATTCGTCTAGGATCTCTCATGTGCCAACTATCTAGAAGTATGTAAATCTGTCTGAAAGAAAGAAACCTACAAGAGCAGTTCGATACAGCACTATACAGCAAGTACAGCAGTGTTGACTGTTGGTTGATTCTGTTCGAATTTAGTCTCTCTGGAACTGTATTCCTCACGTTGTGACCGCCAAGAGAAGATGTGCGTGTCGTCTCGCGTGTTTCTGCGCTTGGTTGCAGCGGCTCTGCCTTCTGTCGGAACTATGTACTAATAGCTACAAGCAGGTGATGACAGCAGGGTAGTTTATACCACATTCTACTCACTCGTGTTCTCTTCCACGGCAACTGTGGGAACCTTTCCTCCAGCTTGGTGCCCTTGGTGTGACCTCGCGAATACGTATGCTCAACCTACCACCGTAGATCATAAACATCATCGACCAATCAGCTAACTGCGTGCCACAAATGTTTTTCTCTTGAAATCGCAGATGTATGCAGCCTAATCATGAGGACGAGGGGGCCGAAGGCCTGCACGTCGGGAGGTCCTTGTATACACAATAACTTGCTCGGCTTGTACACCGAGCTGCACACCGAGCATCCAAACCCTCGTCGAGCGTGTTCATCACTTTCGTGGGGAGTTCTTGTTGTCCGTTTGAAGAAACTAGACGCAAGTTGGGCAAGCTTGCACTGGCAGAGACAACCACTCTTGATTTATTTCCTTTTTTCGAAGGTTCATTTACTCAATTGACGAAAAAGCCCAGCTTCCCAACAACCAAGAATGGCAGCCTTTGACGCCGTGACTCGTCGTTATTTTCAGAATAGGCCCATGTGAACCAGGCGCCGAATCGTTTCCACTTGCCCCGATCCTTCCTCCTTGTCATGCCGTTGTCGCCGGTTCTTTGAAGAGCTCGACGATCTGCCCGAGCCCCGCCTTGTAGAGGCCCACACAACGCTGTCCTCGTTCAACTCTCGCAGTTTTCGCGTGTCCGCTGCTCCCTCGGCAGGCAACACCACCGTGGACTCGGACGCTTCCGTCCTGACGATGCTGCCACCACCCCCAGACCCTACGCTGCCCACTGACTGAGCCATGCCTCCAAAAGATGGCGCCAAGGATCCCCCGGCATTGTGCGGAACCCCTCCTGGTGAGATTTCACCGGCGGCACCAATAGCGTCTCCACCGTTACCCGATATTGCTCGTCTGGAGGACTTGCGGTTACCTCCCTGCTCCAAACCCCACGAAGAGGGACCACGTCCACCGTGCAGTTCTCGTCCGTGTTGAGTTCCTTGTCGCTGCTGTCGGGAAGCACCCGCGCCAATAGTTGTTCTTGCCCTCCTGTCGGCCTTGTTCCTCTTCCTTCTGTTGCACTCCCCTTCCTTGGCTAGCTCCTCCGCGAGAGCGGCTCGCCTCGTGGCCGTCCTAGCCGCCGCCCTCGCGGCTTTTACGTTAAAGCCTCCCCCCCCCCTGTCCCCGGCGATAGTGATCCCGCTGGCAATCAGGCGGCCGCCGTGCGAGCCAGCGAGAACAGCCACGGGCGGTAGGCCCTTGATGGTCTTGTCCATTGGTGATTCTCCTGCACCCCTAGCTACGGTGTTGGCAGGTTCGCCGGTACCATCGATGCACGGAACGGCGCTGTGCGATTGGCAAACAGACATGTGGAGGAATTTTCCCGGTGAGTGGATCTGTCTCGGGGAAACAAGGGCCCGAAAGGGCGGGGGTTCGGATGTTGGTTTGTTTTCAGAGGGATGTTGGCCAACCCAAGCAGAAGAAGGACGGACACAAGCCGTTGACGATGCATTGTACCTGTGGCGAACGATGGAGGAATTGGTGAGAATATGATGGCATCGACTCACTTCTCTCCTTCGGGTTGCGCCACCCACTCGCCCAACGGCCGGCCCTGAAGTGAGTTCCTCCCCGACTCCTCACCCATGGTATCCTAAGTAAAACGCAGCAACAATACGATGTATTTTGCAGGAGGATATTCGTGTTTTCGTGCCTGACGACCATGTACGGAGCGCTATGTACTTCTGTACCAGGTTCCGCGTACGCAGTTCCCCCAGTGAGTTTCTCTTCCGTGCCCACTTGAACACCATCCCGGCGTTTGTCGTGTACTCAAGAGCGTTGCGACAATCACCTTTTCTGCGTTCAGAGCAGCCCCGTTTTGCTGCTGATCTTTCTGCTGCTGAAGGAAACTTTCGTTGGGAACAATGCCGCTGACTACTCCCCTGCAATTAGTTCGCTTCAGCGCGGCCCTTGCATCCAAGATGGAAGAGGCGAATCAAACACAGGACGAAATAACTGCTCTGTTTATCGCGGGTCCCATCCGCTTCCGTTCGAAGCACCCTATGACTCTATTCCACACGGCTTTGTCCCCGGGAACATTAGCTACTAAGGAGAGTTTCTCGGGGCCAATCCGGTTCCATTTCCAGCAGATATCCACCGTTCGCAAAACAAACGCTGAGTACCCCTCCCGACGACCCGCATTATGCCACAAAGTCCCCAGCGGCAAGCCACGGCAAGGCCCACTACTGCGGTCGAAGGAAACTAGCCGAAGCGCTCGCAAGCTTATGAGCGCTTTCCACATGGCACGCTCTTCATCGACTACTCTTTACTAGATCATTGCTCTCGGCGTCAGTGTCATTATCACGTCGAGTACACGTTCTATGCAATGTGCGGTGTGTTACCTTGAGTACCACCCCCGTCGCCCCCCTGCTCTTCGTTCGCTTCAGCGCAGCATCCTCCGCGGACCCGGCGGTGGGTCTCACGTAGCCCCTCATGCCCTTGTGAGTACCGACACGGACAGAGCCCGCCGTAGGCAAGCCTTGTTCCGAGACAGATCTCTCCAGTAGCGATTCGTCTAGGGAAGCGAGAGGGAAGGCGGCAGGGGCTAGGCATTGGTTGGGAGGCGTGTGGGGGTAGGCAGCGGCTGACATCGAATATCTTGTTTTAAATGTGTCGCAATCTTGAGATGGAATTGGATACAGCGAAGTCAAGCGCGAGGTATGGACAGCAGAAGGCGACTATCCGCGAGGAGGGGCCTTGTATGGCTTGATGTCTAGAATACCGTAGATGTTGGTCGAAGAATGTGATGGCTGTGCGACTGCCCCGCGAGAAAACAGTGCTTGAGAACCAAGGCCGATCAAACCCGTGTGACAACTGGTGGCGACCGTTGGGGGACAAGGTATTGCTGGGCAGTTTGTTCCCTACTCAGAGTTTGAAGGCAACCGCTCGTCGGAACAGGTTTCGCGTGGGCGGGGTAAGGAACCAAGGAGAGACCGTAGTCTTGATCCTATTGATTGCTTTCCCCGTTCACGGGTGAGCAATCCCATCTGGTCACACCTCTACCCACCTTCCGCGGGCCAGGGGGCAGACTTGGTGCGCCACCGCTTCCCGCACAGAGGCATTTTTCTGATAGGCTGCATCGTCGCAAGGGACATTGGCCTTCCGAGGTGAAAACGCTCCGCCTTTGGTGTCCTTTTCGAGGAAGATGCTTCCAAAGCCTCTTCGAAGTCCTGCAGCTGTCTGACAACCCGACATGATATTTCGGGCGAAAAATAGAACGTTGAGAGGGGCCATCGTCGTGGTATATATCAGAAGGGGAAGACCATGAACCCTCTTGTATGTAGTAACCCTTTCACATAGGTACTTGGTGGCAATCTACAGTCATGGGCAGGAACGGATGCAGATAGAGCTAATGCAGGGAAACAAGGGTGAGAGGAGAAAGCACTGCTGCGGATACCCTGTTGCGTTTAGGTGCGTACCGTTCATTCGGCCAATTGGAGGGGTCTACCGTACCTTCCCGTAGTAGCACTGAACCCTCGTAGCATATCTATCTATCGAGGGTGCATGAAGACGTGCATACTGCCAAAGAATAGCAAACACCGTGGGGCCCTCTCATAGGCATCTAGCTTCCTCATACAGCAATCCTGTCGTTTTTTGCGTTCCCTTTCCCCGTTTGTCTGGGTTGCGACATTTCCAGGTGCGTGGGCAATATGGCAAACATGCGCCATGTTTTTTTAGAGCCGTGACCGTCGCAACATCCCATATGACACAACAGGCAGCACCATTGCCCCTACCTTGCCATGCTATCCCATCCCGACATCCAGCTAGGCCTCGCCCCCCGCTCAAGACGTGGAAAGCCTTTGGTCTTTTCTCCCAAACAGCTGGTCGAGTTCGATGCTGCTCTGCCTGGTGGTCTCTTCCTGGTAGTCGCATCGACACCGGTACGGACGTTGCCACTCGTGGTCGTCGCAACTTCTCCATGTCCTCGCTCGGTTGCCGTTGTTGATGTCGCTGTTGTCGTGTTTGGAGCTGCCCCTGCTGCTGCTGCTGCTGCTGCTGCTGCTGCTGCTGCTGTGGTAGAAGACGTCGGAAATCTTCAAGATTCCAGTAGTGGAAGGAGGGCGGGGCGGGGATCACGAACCAGCGCACAGATAATTAAGGGCCGCGCGTGTCAAGAAGAGCGGTTCATGTTTCAGGTGGACAAAGTTGTTCCCGATCTGCCCTCCACCGGGCAATGTTTGGCTTGAGATACGATGAAAGTGTCACCTGGTAGGATCGGGTGATCGGAGTCCTCCTTCATCTGGTTGAGTCTTCTCATTCCGGTCCCGCTGCTTCTCCCTGTCATGTTGCTGCTGTTGCTGCCGCCCTGACCGACCCCTCCGTTCGTTCCGCCCCGGGCCCGCTCCCGTGCTGTCTGCTTCATCACCAACGTCGTCGTGGAGGTCGCCCTCAACGTTGCCGCCCCCGCCTCTGAAACTGTTGGTTTTCGTGCTACTGCTCGTATCATTCACTGTCAATTCCCCGCTGTTGCCGATGGTCTTTTTCACCACACTGTCAGTGGTCGCGGTGGTTGCCTTGGCCGTGTCATGGGTGAGTTTCTCTTGGTCAAGGCCATCTTCTTCGTGTCTGCAGTCGGCGGGGCCCCCGCTACCCGGCACGAAAGCCCAATGTCGCGACGCCTCCGCAGCGAGGTACATGCCTCGTTCTGGCCGCCTGTTGTTGATGTCCAACTGCACAGCGTGACACGGTGGCGAGGAGATCCGGTCAAAGTCGTGGAATTGAAGCTCATTACCGCCGGCAACGAAAACCACGCTTGTTTGAATTATTTTATTCTTATGTGTGAGGAAGCCCAACTTCAAGTGGAGAGGTCGCTTTGGATCGTTGCTGGCTGAGGTGTACTCGAACAAGTGTAGTTGCCGGGGAAGTCCTTGTTCACCGTTTACCCGACACCATTCATGGTGCAAGAGAGGGTTCAAGAGGGAGCCGTCAGCTAACACTGCCCGCGATCCCCGTGGACGATTCCACGCGAATTGTCATCCTGTTGGGGGAAACGGTTTCAACAAGCAACCGCGTTTTGTTCCACCTAGGGCGGTGCGGTTTCAAGAAACCGTCGATGATAGTCAGTGACAAAACGCCTAGGGATCAACTCCGATCGCTTGATATTTAGCTGTACATACCGAGAATTCTGACAGCGGCATGCATGGATGCCTGTTTACTCGAACCCGCTTGACATTTCTCCCCGGTTCGCCTGACTTTTGACTGGTGGTGGAAATAGCATCAGCGACCTCGGGAGATGCTTCGATGGCAGCGAGATTGCTAAATGAAGGTGTCGAGGCGCTCTCGACAACGGCCAGGAGCTACATGCCACGTCTGATTGTTCGACCCATATCGATGAGAGCCGCGGTACAGCACCCAAGGCACGGGCCGGGCACATACACTGTTGAGCAGAGAGGCAAAACGCAAGCTTGCCTGACCGAGCATCGCACTCCCGTCTGGCTTCCAGATCTTGGCAAGTCCATCGGCTGAGGACGACAACAAGGACGGCGGGGATCGTATCCACGAGATGCTTGTAACCGCTCCGGAATGCGCCGCCCAGGCGGAATGGAAACCCGAAGAAGGGACGGCGAACTTATACGCTCCCACACCGTCCGATGACGAACCTTTTTGCCTCCGCCTTGGAAAGGAAATTGGGGACAAGAGGGGTGCAGAAATTGAGCATCGCCTCGTGGGCTGTGAGCGTGGGATGAGCTGGCGGAAGGCCAAACGATCGCACGTATGTTCCGCCTGACGGCGAAGCCCACCAAGACCAACGTGACATTGTTGTTCGCGGCGAGACATGCTATTGGTTGTGTTTGGTCAACCAGTATAGATCATGGCAGCTTGGTCGAAAGCGAAGCACGCTTGCTTGCAGTTGACTAGACACACTGATTTATGCCTCGCAACAGTCTGGCTTTTGATCTAATGTGCACAAGCATACTGGACGTATGTGCACCTTGGCATGTCGGCGTGCGCCCCTCCTGCTACCCCCGCTTCACCGTTTCCCCCGGCCGCCGCCTGTTTTTGTGCACTACACGCGGCTTGAAGACTGAAGCGGGCGACTTGTGGTGTGAGCTCCATGCGCACGGCACGGTATGGATTGTGGTTTGGCCGCCTCTGACACTGCACCGGGCCTTTGGCGTCCCCGCTGAGCTCCGCCAGCTCGGTCGGAGAGAGGTGCGCCGCCACGATATCTCCGTTTCCGTTTCCGACATAGATTGACGTCGTTTCTGTCGGCAGTCAAGGATTTTCCGACAGCGAACGCGGAAGGTCATTGCGAAGACAACAAGCGGGCGGGCACGGGAGATGTGTTCATCTGCTCGTGCAAGGAATGTATACCGCGTTCTGACGAATAGATACATCGGTGCGAGAGTGCCGCACCTTCCCCCGTCGAGCCCGTGAAAGTTCCCCTAGCCAGACAAGTCAGAGTTTCTTCCTCTTTTGCCCCGCTTTCTTCCCGCAAATGACCACCGCTGCCGCCAGCTGCGCTGATGTTTTTCTTTCTCAGAGAGGCTAGGTCTGCCGGAAGAAGAATTGCCTGCGCGTTGAATGAGAACGGGGAGCGCCCGTACTTCTTGTTATCGACCTGCACGGCAGGCATCTGTCCCTGCAGAACAGCTAGTCTTTAGAGGATATCGATATGTCCAGAACAGCTAGTCTTTAGAGGATATCGATATGTCCAGGACCTAACCCTAACCCTAGATACTACGTCCGAGAGTAGATGGACTATTAGGCACCTCACCTAGGGGAAGAATCATGAACAAGCAAACCTGTAAGGTCTGTTCAACAGGTATCGATGAAAAAACTTGGGACGATTGGCACCTTGCCGGGGAACTGGGATCGCGCTGCTTATCGAGGGGTAAAGCGAAGGCTCCCCACCTGCACGCACACGCAGTCCAGCGTTCGCCACACCACCACGGCACCTCCGGTCGAGGCACCCATGAGCAACGGATACGGCGACAGGAACATCAGGGCCGTCACCAGCGCTGGTCGGTTGAGGCCGGTGCCTGTCTTTGTCGTTGCCGCGTGCTGCTTGTCCGTCGCTGCTGCGGCATGTCGCACCGGTGGTTGCGACGTCGTGGTGGTCGTCTCATTCCCTACGGTAGCGGTAGGGTTCTCTCCGTCCATGTCTTTGTTGTTTCCATGTAAGGATTCCACCGGAGTTGAGGGTGGGTCTGTTGCGCTTGGGTCGACCGGGGGTTGAGCAACCGCGGCGCAGTGAGGGTGCACGCTGAAAGCCGCTGCTGCATCGGTCAGGTCTCTCGTGAGGGCAAGGCAGGGGGCCAGGAGAGTCCCCAGTAAGCTCATCCTTTCGGCATCCCAAAGATGGAGCGATGAGGATGCTCGTCCGACACGGGTAGATGCCATCTGGTCCTTGTTGGGGGCACCACCGCTGTCGTTTGTTGTGAGGAAAATGCATGAACATAGGGTTCACACGTGGTGAAAGGCGAAACGGTTTTCGCATACATAATCCCACAAACTTGTACGGGTTTCCTCTGTTGCGCATGCGATACAGTCGTACAGAAGCGTCACTCCAGAGGTACGGACGGAGTGGTTCGTTCTGTTGTAGAGGAAGGCCGGGTTGACTCTTTGCCGAGAGTAGGCAGGAGAAAAATCCATCAATAACACAACAACAACGATGACGACGAAGCAGCAACTGCTTGGTGGTTCGACTAAGCAATCAGAGCCGGTTTGCAGGTGTCAACAACAATAGCTGGAGAGTGGTAGCTCTCGAACGGAAACTGTACAGTCTCAACCTGTTGTCGCGCGTTGTGCGACCCTCCCGCATGGTACGATGCTTCAAATGAACAGAAATGCCATAACGAAAAGGGGAACAGGGCCTTTCGGAACAACCTATCCTTGGACCAGAGGTCTCCAGACATCCGTCGACGTCGGGGAATGAAACCAATGAAGTCGGAGGTTAACTCGAGTAGGCAAGTGGTGTCCTTCCGTCTGGTACGTACCGGTCGGGAAAGATTGCACATCCCCTACAGCGTTTTCTAGTTCACCTTTCGGCGGGCATGGTTGCTTCAACGCCACCGTCAGAAGTTACTGCCGTGGCGATGATGGAAAGATGATCATCGGCCGCACAGGCCGTCATGTCAAACTGAGAGAATTTCAGAACGTACAAGGAACAACATGCCAAGAACATGAGTTAAGCCAAGGAATGAGATCGAGGACTTTGAAGTACTACCGGATACGGTGCGGCTGGGTATATTGAAATGTTTGGATACTACCATCTGGCCTCAATTACAGCCTGCCGCGGTCAGGGCAGTTGGCGGTTTTCCCGGATGTATGTCTGCAACTAATGTGCTTCAACATATTCAAGTTTCATGGTTATAAACACAATGTGTCAACTTCGTCGCGACATGACACAGTCGCAAGCCACCTACCGTTGGCTTCGCGATAATCAAGTCTCCCCGGACGCCGTTCTCGTTGACCTTGTCCCCATTCAATATCTCTCTTTCAAGTAGCTCGTCTCGAACCGCAGAGGACATGAGCGTCCGGGCAGCGCTCGCTAGTCTGCGGAGGCGGCAAAGCGAGGACAGATGGGTATGTAGAAGCGCTTCCATTCGATTCATAAAATCTTGAGTTCGACAGCTTGCAGACATATCCGCGCCGAGTCCGAAGTGCATTTGCGGCCATCACAGCCAGGTTTGACGAAACTGCTGTATTCAAGCAAACTTCGCCTTCTACAGTAGTACCCGTCTCAAGAAGACGAAGAATAGATGTCTTGGGTGGTTATCTGACTGACGGAATGGTCGTATGGACCCTGTATTGGTTACGTCAACCATCAACTTGTTCCGGGTCCGCGCCACCTTCAACTTACACTCAGACTCACGGCATGTCATGATCCTGGCCCCCCGGAAGCTACCGGGGACAATAGACATAGTTTATCGTCAATGGGAGCAGCCCGTGAGCGGCCGATGAACGGCCTATGACGGCCCATGGGCGGCCCACAGGTCGTGTGGCGACCCACAAGCCGTCCATGTCGAGCCCCCGGGGGTTCATGGGAACTACAAAACTGTAGCAAGCCTCACATGCGGGACGTGGGTCAAGACGAACCATGGGCAGCGTTTGGTGGCCAAGAAGCGATTGAATACCCATGATGGCCAATGAGGGGGCCATGAGCGACTACGACCCATGACGACTCATGACAGCCGATTGGCGGACCAACTATGGGTTGCCCATGGACCGTCTGATGGGGTCTCCTAGGAGGACGGCCATCTGGCCATTATGGATCACTCATGAGTGGCCCACAGGACGTCCCACAGGCAGTGCCAATGATACTCGTACATGTAGTAGAATACGAATCTCGGGTTTTTCTTGGCACACCCGTCGCGGCAAAGCCGCAGCTGCACTTGAGCCACTCACGTCAACCTACTGTAGCATTTCCACTGCACACGAACCTTATAAACTGCACAACAAGCTAACACACGAAAGTGGTTGCTTCCATGAAGCATCAACATTTCCTTCAAACATTTCAGAACCGAGCAAATCGTTTTCCCTCCGATAGACACCCGCCGTTACACATGTGCCCAACACACCACTGGTCAATCCAGACCCACCTAGACTTCATCGAAGACGCCGCTGGTCCTGTAGAAGCCGGAGGAGCCTCTGCTGGACATCCCTTGTGATCCAACATCCCAGACTCTCGACTGCTTTCCTCAGCATTGCCCAGCAGCTGCTTCTCCTCCTGCTGAGACGGTGATTTAACCTCGCGCCTGTCTGGTCTGGCAGCGTCTGCATTCTTGTCTTCGTCAATGCTTCTATGCCTTACGTCGCCAGGGTCTTCAGAATCGTTCGAAGCGAAAACAACTTGCCGGAGAAGGACCGATCGCCCTCCTTTTCTGGTTGCCTTCCCCACCTCCGCCCCGGCACAAGCACCAACTTCTGCCGCCCTTGGTGCTCCACAGTCTCCCATCCCTAGACTAGCGGGGTTACCTGTGAGACCTCCTGTGGCCATTCCTGTTTCCTCCGAGCTACCCCCCCACTTAGGCTGAAAATTGCTCTGCCTCCCAAGACGCGATGCCCCCCTTGGGCTGCGGAGCTGCCCTGGGCTAAGGTCGTCGTCAGAGCTGCCGATTGCGTCATGGTCGTCTTCGGCGTGATTGATGGCGTTGTCCCTGCTGATAGTGTCTCCTCTAGCAGCGAGGGAATATTTTAACCGCTTGCGCCTTCGACCGGCCGACGGCGGAGGTGGTTTAATGTATCCCTTCTCGTCGGCGGCGTCAAGGACATGTAGTTCTCCATCCCCACCGATGCTGAAGACGCACCTTCGCGCCAACCAGAGGAGAACAGCGCACGCTTCAACACTCAACCTCACACACTAAACGTGTCTCTTAACCCGTCAAGGGCTCTGCGCAGAAGGCTCTGCGGGTCCCTGGGGGCACTGATTGTTGCACCATAGTACTCCGCATGGCTCATTTCACTCCAATGGATCGACCACGTTCATATATTCCGGGCTGAATCTTTGTGCAGGACCAACTTTACCTCGGTATTCCCTCTCCGTTGTTCCAACCATCAACGGCGGATGGCACCTTGAAGCACACCATTTTGGGAGATGAAAGCAATAACAGTTGCAAGAGCCCAAGGAGTACTGTACAGCAAAACCTCTCAACGAAAAGTGAACTCCCCTGCCTCTACCCTTTCAACACCTAGGAACAACTTCGAAAGGGTTGTCTTCGAGGTCCCAGGTGGTTTATTTTAGCACCCAACAGGTGCATCTATTCACTCGTTCCTCAGAGTTCATCACATTGCGAGGGAGCTCACGTGTAGGGCATAATCGTCATCCAGAACAGGCTAAAAAACAGTTGCCGATTGATTCCAGACTACAAGTTTGTGTGGAGCAAATCCAATAATACATACCAAACCTGCGAAGGTCAATCGCTTCACTCTCCCGCACATGTCTGTTTTCCGGGAAGCGAAGGAGAGCCAATTGACCGGACCGTTGTGAGGGTCCAGCTGCCGGATGACCGATCCACTGTGGGAAAAGCACGCCCGAATTTCCCCGGTATCGGCTCCGACTACGAGCTTGTGGCCCTACGTGGTATTTTCGAAGTCATCATCACATTGCAAAAATTGGTGTAGACGTTGGTTGAGATACGTCACCGTCACGATGCCGACATGTGTGTGGTTCGTAGAGTAGAACCAATGTAAACACGTTAGGTGGGCGGCCCGCATTAGATGGCCAGGTTATGACTACAATTGAAAAACAAGCTATCGAGAACACTGGGCGGCGCCTGGCAGCCACGACATGCACGCAGCAAAGAATTGTCGCAATGGCAGACCGTGCTGAAGGACTGTAGCTCAACAGGGGCGCTGAAGTGAGGCAGAAGCCATTCCTGCATGTAAAGAGTGAATAGAATGGACAAATTGCACTATGCGGTAGCAGAGCTGGTTGACTTGGAGTTGCTCTCAAAGTCACCTGGTGGTCTGACGAAAACGCTGTGATATCCGCCTGGTCATTCCCCAGCAAGCGCTCCGACGTCAGGGTTGTTAACGCCTCGCCGCTTTTGGCATCCCAGATGGTCACCCGTCGTGCGCTGACGGTAACAAGCCTCTATCACAGGGTGCAGCAAAAATGATCTCAAGCGCGTGCCAGCACAACGGAACTTGGAGAAGCAGTATTGTGTACGACGACGTATTTTGTCGAGATATGTAGATTTACGGGTCAAGTTTCTGGGGAAAGAGTGGAGTTGACTTTAGTGTCTTCATGGGTTCTGAAGATTCACTGCTTAGATCTGGTTCGCCTCTCCAGCAGTTGACTAGAAGAGAAAAGTGGACACCCTGAACGACCGCATGCCACGAGTACCACCCGACGCACTTCTAGGTAGAGCGCACGCAGCGGATCTAACCTGCAGATAAGGACAGAATTCCGCTTTGATTAGCTCCTCGTGCACCCTCTTTTCCATACGCGCGAAGATATCCAGCCCGGCCGTTTCCTTCATACCGGCAACGAGCAGCATCGGCCGATCGGTCGACCTCGGCACCAAAGCAAAGCACGACACGGACTGTTGGACCTGCTGACAGTGGCACACCACGTTGGTACAGCATGAAAAAGGCAACCTCGGCCGCTCCAAACAGTTTGATCCGTCAGCCTCTTTGTTCTGAAGGAGTGAAAATTCACACGTCACCTGCAACATGGACATGCACTTTGTGGCTCAGCAGGTACCGTAGCACCTAACCTCAATAAGTTACCGTCCGATCTCGAAATATGCCGTACGGAGTTTGTTTCCCTCGTTTGGTTATATACTGCATATCTTGTTTAGCGATGGTTTCATAGGCTCCCAGGACGAAGGATCAGGAAAGCAAAGCTAAACGGCGCATGCAATTCCGCCTCTCCGTGTGACAGCAACAATGCTTGGGATCGGTGTTGGGGCATGCCGGTTCTTCATTTCCCTTGATTTACTGATAACACAATGGTTGTCTGTTTCCCGTCGGAAGGCACCAAGTCACGTTTGGGTACGTACAAATAGGCCAAAGATCGCACCTTCCCTCTGTATTGTCTCCCACAAGCGGGCTGGCGTTGGAGTTTACCGATCCAAAATTCGTTCTCGACAGTACCCCCTTCAACGTTTGAACCCACGTTTGTGCGGTGCGAGTGAACATGACAAACGGGCTATGATTGGAAGCCAGCAATGCTCACTCTGCGTCTGTTTGTACTCACGAGCGGGCTGTTCTTGGCGCGTGTAAATCGTTGCTTGACGACAAGACTCGGCATCTGCCACACCAGAAACACTCCGTCGGCGCCTCCCGTGATCACCTCGAGGTCCTCATCAGTGAAAGCTATCCCGACCACCTTCGCGTTGGGATATTCACATCAATTTTAGGATCTTCACGAGAGTTTCCGACATGTTGCAGTTTGCAAGATCATTTTGAGGCGACGTTGGCGTTCAGGTCACCAACATATGCGTACCATTCCGATCGTGCGCAAGGCAGGTCGCGCCCAAACCATGGGGTTACCCTAGACGCGATGTTCAAGCTTTGAGAGTGATCGCCGGCACAGTGTTGATGGTTTGTGCTCATGCTGTGCACCTCTCGTACACGAACCAATCATGCCATACATTTTGCGCATGCCATATCAATTCTAGACGCCTAGCTTCGCGCATTTGGGAAGGCTGCCAAGTTCGACTTTCTTGCGGAATACCTGCCCCTCGTGTCCCCTGAGACGACTTTGCACGTCGTTTTCGAGGAGCCCGCGGTCGCGGTCCAGGCCCCACACAAGGATGTCCGGCGTAGTGTCGACAGCATTCACGAACACCCCGGCAGACAGGGCGAGGGAGTGATGAAGGCAAAACTCCATGCTCGCGATCCCTCTCTCGTGAGCCTGTCATTGCATGGCCCCCTATTGTTAGAATCGGTACTTCGACAAGCGGTCCGTGAAGATGGAAAACGAGCTGGGGAACTTTGGCGCTGCGCTACGTGGCGTCGAGGTTGCAGAAAAGCGCTAGAAGGCTGTTCATGCGTTTGTTCCCAATGAAAGTTGAAACTCTTTGTTGGACGATCGCCGCTTGTTGTGCTCGCGCAACCATGAAATCACAAAACAATCGAAACATCGAGGAGCGTCCACAGAAATGTTTTTTCTGGGTGTCATCTGTTGTTGTCGAATCGGTGGCTGTTTTTGCGCTCAACAACTGAGACTCGTCTAACCTTGAGAAGAACACTCAATCTGATCCCCACCACATATATATATATAATATTGACACTGCGTTTTCCATGCGACGAACTAAATGCGGGTCCTTGATACGGTCTACCCTTGTTCCGTCTCCCGAGCTGCACCTGTAGGCGTTGCAACACCCCGTCGCCGCGACCTCCTCCTTTCGCAGCTCCGCCGCAGACTGCGATGGTCCCGTCGAGGCTAGCTGTTACGAGGTGCGGAGCCCCACCTGTGTGGCCCACCTGCCAGGCATCGCATCTGGGGAGTTTATTCACTCCGAAGAGCTCAAACAGCTCAGCGTTTCCTACGTTTAATTCTACTTCTTGGTTCCATCATAGGCAGCTACAGAAGGGTAGGGCGGGTAAGAGTGCGTTGCGGAAGGTTCTTTGAACCCTCCTACATATTGTGCTTCGACGAATATTCATATACATATCAATGTTCATGGCCTGCATCGGTAGCTGGTAAGCAGTCGTTTATCGATGTGGTGGCAATGCAATGCAACAACAACATGACCACCACCAACAATAATAACAACGACAGGGATGAGGACGACAACGACCACAGATACCAACGAATGACAACGCAAATACTGTAAACAGCACACAAATGTACCGGCGCCTCACCAACTCGTGTATGTGCGTAATTCCGGAGTCGTGCAGCCAAAGCTTTGCCGATTGTCTCAAAGGCCCTAGTTCCCACCCCAGCAACGACCCGTTGCTGGAGCTTCCGGTAAGCACCATCTCCACAGCAGGGGCCCAGAGTATGACGGTCTGCCGCATCAACCAAAATGTTCATATCGTTTGGTCACTAAGCACGTAACTGTGGATGGCCCGCTCCGGTAGTCTGACGAAACTTAGCAGTATTGCATCGGATGTTGTCTTGGCTGTGTCTTGGTCACTCACGGGGCCGGCATGGTGTATTCACAATTTTGGTTCGAGCTGGCTCATGTTTGGCGGACAACACTCGTTGGGGTGTTTGGGTGAAACGATCCAACGAGACACCGCCGAAACAAGGATGGGTTGAAATAAACACGCATGGAGCCGTCATCGTCCTAGAAGAGGCTTCAGGGAGTCACTGGAATCTACCCTCCTACAAGATTTCCTGCTCACATGAGCCACATTACTCGCCCTTGAAACGAGCTCTACTAAACCCATCACAGCTGCCACCACAGCAAGGTGCTACCTGTTTGAACCATTTTTCCGGTTCAATGCCGACTAACCTGCCGCGTGGGGGTCTCTTCCCGGCTTTTCATTTCTGGCAAGAATTGCTTCTCAGTAGACCGTTCCTCCTGAGTGGGAAGGTCCCAAACCGTCAAGACATGGGGACCCGTGGAGGAGATTGAGCTGCTCGTGATCACCACATCTTGCCCCGGGATGCTGTGCACAGCGTTGACCTTGGGGACAGCGTTGTTTACAGGGAATACAACACAAAATTGCTTCAGACGGAGCGACGCACCGTCGAGCAGCCCAATTTCCCAACGTGTGTAACACAGCAGGTTGCTCACCTGCATTCAATTTTTGATAGTCTCGCTGTGCCACCTTCAGGAGGGCTATATACACACTTCAACGAACAGGTTGTCATCTTGAATACTTGCCGGAACTGCGTGTACCGGTGCGGATACAACTAACGAACCCAATATTGATATACGCAAAAGAGTAACACGTCCTCATGTACAGTAGATCGGGCATGTTGTCGTTCGTCAATAGTCACCTTGTAACCACACTTCCCGCCTGTGACATGTCACCTCGCTTTGACACTTCTTCAAAGCTCATGCATTCGTTTGGCAAAGGTTCTCACCTACCCGTGTCCCGAAGTCAAGAACGAGCCTACTCCCTGTAGCCCGTCATTCACACGCAATACAAACGCACCTCGTGGGGTTTGTAGGCCGTGTCGTGTCGAAGAGAGCAGCTTACCCTCGCTAAGTCGGACCCCCCGCCTGACACTACCTGAAACGGCGCCTTGTCGTCATCTTCCAAAGGGCCCTGGCCTATCAGGTGAACTACCTGCGTCATGTTTAGATAGGCGCGGTAACACGTGTTCCGGCACGGGTTGCTTCAAGACGTAAGACTACCACATGGCTCAGGATGAACATCCGGTGTCAACGACAACTTTTTGGGGGGTAAGACCGCCACGGAGAGGTACCGGCCTGCGTGTATGTGGCGATATCCCAAACTAGATGTTGTTTTCCTTTGCTGTGGAAGGAACGACAGCTCCGCAACAAAAGCTGCATGCGTTCGAAAGTGTATGCCGCATCCTGCGTGTATCTCTTGATACCTGATACCCGCCCGTCATTCCGCGGGAGGCTTGGATCCGCGTCTACCATTGAGTTTTCTGCGGCTGATCTCCTACCAGGTCAACACGATCTCACTCTACCTATGAAAACAGTCCACGGCTGTTACAGCTGAACTTAGTTTTGTCGTTGCAAGCTTGCACGCTTGAGGGCTCCTGAAAATTTGTTTTCTCCCGTCTCGGTTTACTCGTCATCTTCAAATGAAAGTTTGGGGTTTGGGGCACCGCGGTCAATTCGTTAAGTCACCTCGTTCCCTTTCCCCACAAGGCCCAGCTTTTCCACTGGTGCCGGCAAGTATTCTACCCGAGACACCTGGCACACCAGGGAAATGTGATCGGGGCAGAAGCAGGAAATGGAGCACCAACGGTCATCAATCAGGTAGCCAGGACTGGTCTTCCAATGACATTCAACACATCCTTCAAGTGGCGCCTCCAAGGCCGCGTGCGGGGTTGAAGATGAGGTGCTACATGTGCCACTCACTGGTCTAGCGCACACTTATATCGAAAGCGTGAGGGAGATGTGACGGAGTGTCCACGGCAACCGTTTGCAAACATTGTGATGGATATTCGCCACAATGACCGCGCCAGTGCTACATTCTGGACAACTGTCTTCGAGTTAAGTAACCGGGAGCATGATCTTTGTTTCTCCGAAATCGCTGCAACAAAAAGCGAAAGCCCTCACAACCGTTTCAATCATAAAGCTGAAGCAGGGTTCTGCGCCATTCGCGGTTTGACCCACCCCGCCTTCTCGAACGTGGCCGTCCATTCCCAAATGCGCCGCGAAGTGCTGAAAGACGCGCTCATTCTCCTCGGCTGCTTTGCCGTCGTGCAACAGCTCTAGCTGAAACATGTACTGTGTAGACATGCCACGGGTCCAAGGACGACATGACACTTCAAAGAGGTTGGTTGTTTAATCGAGTGCTGATGTTCAGCCGCAGATCAAGGGCAGTCATAGCGACATGTTGCATGGGACGCTTATAGCACACGGCGGGAGCTGTCGAACGCCTATACTTGGAATCCCTAACAACGCATATGATTCTACGCAGCAGTTTCGCCCCCCTGCATATACTGTAGTAAACTGGGAAGGTACTACTGTATGCGGCACAAGATGAATACACCCCGGGGATAACATTTGGCTTTTCAAATATTTTCACTGCGTGTTGTATTCTGTGGGGGGTGTGCTATCTTGGGTACCCTGGACGCTAAAGTGCAGGTGGGAGCCATGAATGATGCTTTTTTTCTGCCGACGTACTTACCGCAGAAAAGTCTTCCCAGCACACTTCCCCGTCGCCGCGGATGTCCATTTCCTTAAAAACTTCCCCAACTTTGCTTGCATTGCCATATACATCGTTATATCCATGCCCATGAGGATACCCGCCCCCGGCGCCACCTCCATTCATGGCTGTGAAGCCGAAATCTCCATGCTCAACGTGCCTTCGCACCACGGCCAGAAACTGAGACGAAGCGTTTGATAGCGTAGTGTAGGAATACGATTACCTTGAAAAAATTGAGAACCTGTTTTGTACTCTCGAGAAATCGCAGAGGTTCATGATCATGCTTCCGAAAGGTAGGCTTCGGCATGTGGTTCTACAGTACTGCTGCACAACTGCGAGGTCGAGGTGGCTACGGTGTGGGTATTTCTGTAGACCGCCGCCCCTCGTACCTGAGCTGGGTTGAGACCTTCATCGCTTTTTCGGGGAAAATCTTCGCGAAGAGCATCCAAGGAAGTCGACTCTGCGAGCTTGCTGAGAAGTTCCAGCCCCCAAGACGTCATCCCGAGGAGCCCCGCGCACCGCTAATGCTTAGCCGTCCCGCTCTGCGCCGAGGAAACCAAGCCCCGCACGCGGTCGTTGTGGTACGTTGCTTCGACTGGCCGTTACAGATGCATCTCGCCTGTAGTGAGTCCATCGTTTATGGCACAATAACTGTAGGAGTAGATCATGGTTCACGGGCTACGGTGGTGTAGATTCTATGCACCCTTGGAGCCTTTCCAACAGCACCCAGCTTGTACCCAGCTGCTGGAGCGAACGCGCGAGATCACATCGCTCGGGACTGTCGATTTTTCGAAACCGAATGCCGAACAGGTACCTGTTGCACCGCCCTTTCGTCTCTGCGCGCCCTGCCAGGGTTGCTGGCCTCCCCTTCTATGCACCGGTCACGCGTCGTCGCGGTGTGCACGCTAGCTAGCTAGCACGGCCCGAGGGCATCATGGAACAAAGCGTGGCGCTGGTGATACTCTGTTGCCCTACAGAGCAACAGCTGCGAGACAATCCTCAGACATACACACCACACCAAACATAACTGCCGCCTCGATGCATTGCGGTGCTACCCATGAGCCTGAGTTGGAGAGGTGGTTGGAGCGTGCTCTCACGGCCAAGCGAAGGCAAGTGCTCTGTACCACATGTAGTGATCATCGCAGGCAACACGCAGAAAGGGAGGGGGCCAAGTGCGCGGGTTGATGTTGCTACAGTCCCGTTCAAAGCAAGGCGTGCATGCACGACAGCGCCACTTACTGCTTGTAGTCTACGGCGGTAGGCCGTAGTACTGCTGTACCACACAGTAGTACACATGCAAGCGACGTCCGCTTATGGCAGGAGCACATTTTTTGAAGCGCTCCCTCTTAGAGGAGGGTCTGAAGCGCTCCCTCTTGTCCACAAACGTACACACGGAAAACAAATGCACTCCCTGTCGCCCCGGTAGTCTAGTTCGTGTCCTCGACAAGCATTGCAGTGGCCGGGTCAGTTATTCTCTCGATCGCGTTCCTAGCGTGGGTGGAAAGAGCTGGTTCGTGTGGACACAGACGAGAGTGCTGCTTTCTTGCATTACAAGCCGAAGGCAAACACAGTAGGAGGGTTCGGTGGGGGGCCGCAGGAAACCCTTCTGTGTGACCACGAGTTGGAGGAAGCAGCACAAATGCTGTAGTCTGCTTTGAAGAAAGGGTGACAAAAAAAACTCCCACAACTACCATCGGAAAACCCCGATCTCGCGCCGTCCCTTCTGAATCCTTGAGCCCGCCACAACGACAGGAAGCACCATGAAAAATGAACTCTCATGTACCGAAGCAACGGTACTAGTCTATATGTACTACTGTATGTCGCATCTAGCAAACGTGTTTGCGTTTCTAGCATGACTCAAGACATCTCAGTTGTAAAAGTCCACCCCGAATCAAGCACCTCTCGTGGTTTTCGCCTACACTTCTGTCCCTGTACGATTACAATATGTGCAGCGAGTCGTGAGGGATAGCCACTGCACCAGACCAAACTCCAACGGTTTTTGAGAGTGCACAACGTAGGGGATCCTTGGCTAGCTGAGGGTTTAGAACCGGAAAGTTTCGCCGGCCAGCCCTTCGTATGTTAATCTAACGAATTGTTTTGTCTCACCCGAAATATAAGTATTCACCTCCGAACAAGAGGGCTATAAGCGAAGACCGGAGCGTTTTTTTTTTAACACGACAACAACAACAACAATTAACGAGAGCGCACAAGTGCCGGCTTCTTATGGCCCTCGAGGTGTACTTTCTGTTGTTTTGGTTCCGTCTAACGCAGACCCACAAACCGCTCCTTTGTGCCCAGAGAGCGTCGCACGGGTAGCAGTCCGTACGACATCGTGCCGGCTGGTCTCCAGGAGAAGGCAGCTAAACGCCACCGGAGAGTGTCTCTGAAGGCATCGAGGTGACAACTGTTCGAATTTCGTGACTCGGAAGACAGCAGGTAGCGTTAGCGCTAGCCGCCTGCAAAGAAATCGAGCGCCGGCGTCGTGACAGAATGCGTGGAAGGAGCAACGCAGGAGAATGGGGTACAATGGTGATTCTTGACGTGTGAGAGTCCGGCCCGGCGGATCGTCAGTCTGTTATTCATACGTACGTAGTTGTTGATCATACACCACATATGAACGTCAGGAACACCGGGACGGATGGCTTTGTTCGTGCAGGTCGCCCCACAACGGGTAGAACTTGTCCCGCAGAAGTCCTGTTGCTGAAAAATCCAGCAATTGTCATCGCTACTACGTCTTATGCGGCAAGCCTTCCTCTTGATGTACGATGAACGCATGAAGTTTCATGCGTCAATGAACCCACGGTTGACCGACATAACGTGGGTGGAGAGAAACGTGTTGCAACATGCGCGCACAACACGTATGCTGCTTCGCGGTGATGTTCCTACAATCAGTCGAATTACCTTTCTGGGTTCCAGATGCACGACTGACGAAGGGTAGAACAGCTGCAGACCAATAGGCTACTGCAAACCTTGAATGCATACGCTGAGCGATTTGTTTCGCCCGTAGCCACAGGAACACCAGCAGCAGCAAAAAATGTACTCTGCACTTGTTTCAAAACTGACGTCCTTTCTTGTCTATCTTACCTTACCGCCCGTAATTGTGCTGCCCTCCCTCCGCAAGGCACCACAGCCCTCACCAATGGAAAGGAGACGCACCATCAGCAACACGCTTTCCCTCCCCGGGGAGACCCGGGACACCGCCACAATACAACAGCCTGCCAAATATCACCGAAGCGGCGCCTATCCCACCGCAAGGACCAGCCGTAGACACCCCTCCGGAGAAACGTCGCCGAGGTGAAAGGAATGCCTCTAGCCAGGGCGAACGAGGGCGCCCGCAGGAGCAGGTGGCAGCTGTTGATACTCCAGTGAAGGCGGCAAGGCTGTCGCCAGGGAGAAAGGCCCAGAAAAAAGAAGTGGTCGGGGAGGCGGAAGAAAGAATGAGCGCCGCGGATTTGGCGGCGAAGAAGATGCTGCTACCGTTCATCAACGAGCTGTCCTTCATCGAGATTGCACTCGCTGCGGTGAGTAGTTCATGAATATCGTCAGACCTGGTCAGCGGAGTCAGCCAGGTGAAGGTAACATCCCCATTTTTGCTTTTCTCTATCGTGTTTTACCTAAACTCCAGTTGTGGTAAGCGTCACGATGACGGTCAACTTTGCTTGCCTATTTTTAGTTTTCAATAGAAAGCGTTGGCCATTAGGTTTCTCCGTGTACTTGGAATTGATGCTCAAGTTCGCAATCCCCTGTCGACAGTACCTGTAGATACCGACACCCGCTTCTACCTATTGACCATTTCCCTAAAACAAACGCCATTACCACAACACTTACGTCAAGACGAGGTGACGATTTTTCAGAGAAAACTAAGCGAAACGGGTACACTTGTGTAGGCTGAGTGAAAGGCAGCCATTTGCGAAGGATGTTCGGGCTTCGTGGCTACACCTCCCGCACGGCTGTGTCAAGGGTGGCCGACAAGTGAGCATTTCGTCGTACTCTCTCTCTCTCGTCCGCTCGAAAGTAAAACGTGGGCGATGCGCCAGCGGAATATGACCCATTCTGAATACAACCCAAGCACCAGCAAATTTTGTGGAATGCAAAATGGTCATACCAGAGCAATGCGTGCATGTCACCACGACCACCAATATCTCCCACCAACACGTGGCGATACCAACACATTTCGTTGGATGATTCACCGCAGGTTTTATTCCTCATCTAGAAGTCCTTTCCGCCGCCCATCCCCTTGTTTCTCCGCCTCCTTCCCCTGTTAGCGAGGAAACCCCAGCGGGGGAGGACTAGCGTCGTCGAACCCAATCGCAAAGGACGCCATCAACCTCTTTCAGTCGTCCTACCTCTTCACTGAGGGCCTGAGCAGCCTTGGAAAAGCAACGGGGACGATCCCAAGGAATCCCTCGCCTCGACGGTCTCCGAGAAAGGTCTTGCAGCCACACGCACCGGATAGCTTCGCTTTGTACGAAGCTCGAAGCGCGGTCGTTACATTATCCCGCTACCTTCTTCTCAACATAGCCATCGTAGAATAGAACTTTTGTTCGAGAACGCATTACTTCGCCTGTTCGAGTGTGCGATATCCTGGTCGGAGAATGATGCGTGAACGTATATCCGAGCTAATGAACAATCAAATAAGGTTGTACTGGTTCTGCGACACCCATGAGCTCCACATTGGACCCTTCGAACGCCGTAGTCGTTTGTTTTGCCCATTTCATGTACTGAAAGTAGATGGCGCAGTCACCCATGTATTCAATTACAATTTGAAGTACGGGTTAAGTTGTGTATCCTTCAACCCTATCCCTCAAGCCAAGCGGTAGCCACACCAGGGTCGACCCTTTTTCATGCCGACCGTTTGATGCGAAACCCTGGCTGGGGGCGCCCTCAACACCACTCACTCAGCAACGACTCACGCCACACAGACGTGAGAGCGAGATACTCCACCTAACATCCGCAGGAAAAGCTTGAAACGGGAACGACAACGATCGCGTCGATCGGCTTTCGATTGTGCTCCTGTCACAGACTCAGGCTAGTGCCGCTGGACCCCCGGCTACTTCTGGAACAACGCCGCGCTCTCGAGTTGGGCTTGCGATCTGCGAGAGTTCCCTGGGGAAGCGAGGAAGATTGTGCAGCGACGATGACGGCAGCAGCAGCGCGAGTAATAACCAAGAATCAACAATGGCCGGAGGAGGCGGAAAGCACCAGCACGGTGAAGTTAGAGGGCCTTCTCAACAACCACCCATGGTAACAACCTCCGTCTTGAACAGCAGTTGCAAGGCGCAATTGCCCCGCGTACCCGGAGCTACCTCTCCTGTCAGCCTCAACGGCGGGAACCATGGTGGCGGCGTCAGCGTGGCGAGCTCCGAGAAATCGGGGGGTTCGAGATGTTCTCTTGGCAATCCCGACGTTGCTCGAGTGCTCCGCAAGTGGGTAATTGTTTCGCGGACACCTGTTCTTACCACAACGGTGAAGTGCTTCATCGAACTGGTTTGAACAGGGTAGCCAAATACCTGGGAGTCTTATCGTTTCGCTACAAGGAAAGTGTTAATCCCATGTGAAAACAAGTCCGGACCCCGGACAATCATGCGGAACTGTACAGTCCCTTGGTTTCCCCTCCTTGTGCCCGGTAGATTTGAAAACACTCACCTAGTTTCGAAATGGTGCATCCCACTACTTCAATCAGCGAGTTCGTCGATGTTGTCACCCAGTTTGAGGGGAAGCTTCGTCGCAGAGATCGGCGCCCTATAACAAGTGAGACTCATATCGCCTATTCGCTTTTTCGTGGTGGTCCTCAAGGGGAAACGCATGTTCGATCGTCCGCTTGGGAACGGGAACGTGGCAGCATTCATTCCTACAAGTAGCGCGAACCTACCGATCTCCTCACATAGCTCTGCGCAATTTCCTGATTACGCCTGACCTCTCTCTGTTGAAGGTACCCCCAATTCTGCGATTTCGTGGGTCTGACTCTACAAGCTGTTAGATCGGAGGAACTTGCCCCAAGATACCACCCCCCGGCGTGGACACTCGGGCTGTGCGAAGCGGTGCTCGACGAGTGTTGGAAGTCCGACGCCCAAACAGGAGCAGGAGGCCCCAGGGCTCTGCGGAACACTAGACGCGCCGCTGCTGGTGAGAACATGTGGCGTCTACGTGTCGCACATCTTTAAGGGGACGTGCGAACGGCAAGCCTTAATGCTTTCGTGGGGAAGTGGTGTGAAAATATGACATTTCCACGCCCCTCCGGACGCGCAAGACGTATCTTCGTGACAGCAAAGTTGGCTCTCATCTCATTTTCTCGTCACTCTACGAGCCCGGGCCATGGAGCTTTCAGGAAGCGCTACCTTCGGCCCAACCTGGAGGCGTCCCTCTTCTCATGCCGAAAGGTGTTTCATCCTACATGAACAATTTGGTAGTATGGCGCACTTTCAGCAACGTTTGAGAACTACAACTCGAAAGACAGCGGTTCATTTTGTGCGCACAAATGCGAGCCGCTCATTGTCTTGTCGTGTGCAAAATGCCAAACAGGAATGGAGGCGAGACTGGCGGCCTGCACGACCGAGGTTGACAAGTGGTGTCTGGCGCAAGCGAAGGATCTTGAAATTGGAGAAGAGGTATGGCCATACGCTCTTGTCTGTACCCACACGCATTCGCTGGTGAGCGTACTATCGTCCTGAAGCTAAGGCACATGCTGTTTAAAGCGTCGACGTGACACAATGGTAGAATCAAACGTGTTACGCGAGTACCCAATGGCAGAAGCACAAGTATCCTATATCTTTCGTGAAACTCCAACAAGATAGAAGCCGGGCGCAAATCTTCATACGCACGAACTTCCAAACGTGTATCGATGGAGCGCAGCGCTTCATGCCTCCTGGAGATTCCAGGGTGAAACGAACGCGGTTCACGAGCATATGGCAACCGCCCGGCATGCACGAAGTTTTTGGCAGCTGCCCCATCGAGGCCAAGCAAGTTCTAATGGTGCCATGTCAACTGACGCTCCTACTTCACCAATATGCTTTGCTTCAAATCCTGTCGTGTTGACCCTTCTCCTTCTGTGAATGCTGAAGCATTGATGTCCGCTATTAGGTTGTACCGCATGCGTATGCCTATGCATCACATAAGTGTCTCACGGATGTTCTCGTGTACGTCAGGGCGAGCGAGACGACAACCGCGAGGAGAGAAAAAAGAGGAGACAGCGCCGGAGACGACAGAACCTTCGAAAGGAAACGCGAACAGATGGAGGAGGAATCACGAAGCCAGGTGCCATGAGCGGGGCTCGAAGGGATACGAATACTAGCGGACAGAGATCGGCACATAGTAGAGAATGTCGGACGAGATGCGACGTCTTTAACAGACAGTTGCAACGAACTCGCTCGTGAGCGGCCTCACGGGAGCGGCTCCAGTTCACGGGTTCTGGTACCATGGTCATTCCATGGATATTCTACGGGACCCTTGGTTTCGCATGCTTGGGCAGAAACTTCGTCCCTAATTGTGCGTCCTCCCCCGGTTCGGTAAAGGTTCGTTCGACTCCGTCTTTCCAAGGCGAGGACTCAGGTGCACGCACTGGCTCACTTGCTGGGAAAGGTAGAAAGAACAGCGCCCTTAGGCTGTTCCGTCCCGAAGGTCCAGATGGATACCTTCGTTTCCACTCCATCAATCGGACTTTTTCTACTGTTGTGTTGAACAACACTCGAATCGCACGTACCGAATAACGCAGCGCTACATTTAGCAGACCTGCTTTCCTTCCAATCCTTCTGCATCCGCGTGCCAACCTTACCCTGACGTCTGAGCTTCCTTGAGAGCGAATTTTGATGACGGATTCTCCGTCCGTCCCTCCGCTTTCTCCTCAATTTGGCATTGGACTGCCGTGGCACCGGACAGGCGAGGCCACCCCTGAGGCTGCGTCTAGCTTGCGGTTACCCGAGTTTGTGGCTACCTTTCTGTCGGAGAGATTCGGTGTAAGGGCGGTGGCTCTTCAGGTGCTTAAACTCGACCCAGATTATCACCATGTAGAGTTTCTGCAGTATTGCGTAGTCTAGTGGGCATCCAAGAGGATTCCGTGAGTGGACTTTGTAGTCAAGCTATGCGGATGACTGAAGGGGCACCTATCTGCTTTCCTGCAGTACACGTTCAAAATGCGACTTCGCCTTGGCTTGGTACATGCCGTCCTCGTAGGGCACTTATAGTTCTCTAGAACTATGACAACTAGCTTTTCATCAACCTGCGATCAATGTGGACTTGATGGCTAACCTAATCAACTACACCTCGCGAATACCATTGCCGAAACCAATGAACAGGCCGCCGTGGACCTTTTGTTCGGGCTGGAGACTCTCCGCCCGTCGGTCCCCGAGGTGGAACACTTCTCGCTCTTGTTGAGGGAGCTGCACGACATGGGAGCTCTCGCCTTAGCTCTGCACGCCAGGGAAGTCGTTTCGCGTCTTGGGGGGCTTCGACTTCGAGACGTCAAGCGGAGGTACTGGAGCGGGTGCCCGAAAAGGAGAAGGGACTGCGACGGATATAGAGAGCATTCGCACGTGCATGTTTGACAAGTGGTCCGTGCACAACATCTACGAAATTCGGCGTGCTTCGTTTTCTTTGGCCTACACATACTCAGACAGAGCTAAACCGACGGAAATGTAAGCATGTCCGCATTTTCTTCGATCGGCGCTACGCCAATGATTGGCGAGTGTTATTTTTAAAGGCCTTCGACTTGTAATCGAATTTCTGCCGTTTATTATATATGCATTTTCTTTTTTCCTCCCTGATAGGGCTAGTTTAGCTGCTCTTGTGACTTGGTGTCAATAACTCGCGTGCACCAGGCATTGCAACTTTGAGCGATTGCCGCGTCACACTTTTATTATGGAAAAAGCAGCGGGACCCAAGTCGTCTAGCTCGCGCAGGACGATAAACACGGACAACGTAACCTCAGGAAGCAGTTATATGCGTTTACTCGACTCAAGATCTTTCAGTATTGTTCCTCTCTGCCTTGACGTATCTCCTGGCTCTTGGTTCTGCTTTTTGTTGGCTTTTTCCAGGCTAGCTCAGCCGAGTTCGAGACATCCGTTGCGCAACGAGATGGTTGTGTCGCCCCATCCCTCTCTCCCGATGGCGGCGGCCCAAGTGTGGCTCACGCGAAAAGGAGGCATCGCCGTGGCGTTCTTGTTGCTGGGGGGAGGGTCACGTGGGGTCTCTCGTTCGAAAATTGCAGGTAAGAGGTCATTTCCCTTCCGTTTCTTGATGTGGCCCACTAGCTTGAGAAAAGAGTGAAGATTCACGAGGGGCCTGGGGTAGTTGGGAGTGTGGTGAAGAGGCCCTGGTCTTGAGGTATCAAGGTGAACAGTTCCCACGCATCTCCTTGCGGTGTGGAGGCCTTCTCGTGCAGCCCCGAGCTGCCGACAAATACGCACCTCTGCCCCGCCCACATGCCATATGTAGAAGTATTCTGTCAGGATTCGTGAAGCCGAAACGCGAATGGAGACATCACAGGTTGCCATTTACAACAGACGCCCTACCCCCCGAGGGGGTGTGTGGGTTCCTGGAGAGTCGATCCCGAGAAATGTCTCCCTCCTGATATTTTTGTGCTGGTGACGCAGGAATCGTTAAGGACGCGCGACACGTGGTTTCGTCGACCAGGGAAACCTGGGGAAGGTCCCCGGAAGAAGAGACACAGCAGCAAAAAATCCCATCTGCTCCGTCTAAACGCACCTCGATGGAACAAACTGGCTCTACTACGGAGTCAGGGGCAAACGTTGGAAACGGCCATCCGGCAGAGTCGACCACAGCGGACCGAGGGCATACAGTAGAGAGTGGCGGCTGCATAGACCTCAAGCTGCGGAATACTGCCCATGGTAGCACCGGTGCCCCATATATCCCTCTCTACGGTCTGTTGTTTTTCCTGTGCGAGCTTCACATGAAGACTCCCGAAGAAATAATGGAAAAGGTAAACAAACTCAACGGTGCCCAACGGTCAGAAGCTTGTTGCAGAGGGTCGGACGCCGGCAAACGGTTTACATTGGTAAAGATGCCCCGTGGCTTGCTTCTCTTGATAAAATATAAGTTGGAAGTCTGTTACCGATGTGGACTACTCCTTCGCATCTGCCCCTAATGCCACACGATGAGGGATCAGAACCATTTCCATTCGCGAGGGATGGGTATGTGAAAACAAAAGAGGGTGCCGTTGGAACTGCTTCTCTGATGTCTTTCAGAAAACGTGTTGGATACCGGAGGGACAGCTTTTCTGTGCAGGAGGGGCTGCTTTTCTGTGGTCTGTCTTCTGGACTCTGTGCATAAACCAGGGCAGCAATGAGGCGACTCTCACGCACTTCGTACTTTTGTTTCTGCCCTAACCTTGCACATCAGAGCAAATCTGCGGACAACGGGGGCGGCTTGGGAATGCTCGCGACGCTGGCTCGAGCGGTAGAGCAGGAGGACCGTAGAGAAGAGCTGTCCATGCAGCTGGCAGAGGAGACGCGGACTCTGGACGTGCTAGGGGCGGAGGTGCGTACTCCGCAATACACACGAGTACCTTACGAGTGACAGATCAGATGTTGTTGTTGCTATTGTTGTGTTCGCATTACAAACCGTGCCGACCTCTCTGCACAGTACCTTCCTGTATCCGTACTGACCTATCACTTGATATACGCGTACCCATAATACTCGTTGTGCAACCCCGATTTTGGTGAAAATGACGTTCGACGAACAATAACCGGGGCTGTCCTTGTACAGTAGTAGTCTGGATGGGGGGAAAAACAAGATTTGTAGGTTTGCCGGGGGTCGAGATCGGCCACTCGACCAGAGGCCAACAACGGCCGGCTAAATTCTCGGCGATGTGCGACGGTGGAAAGAGGTTATCCGACTTCGGTGCAAGTACCGGAGGCAACAAGGATGATGCACGTCGTCAGCGCTAAGCGAAGTTTGTGCCTGCTGACAAAGCAATGCATCGATAGCAATGTCTCTGGTGGCAAACCGTGTATTCGTGTCAGTAAAAACACTATCAGGATCTCGAGTTGATCCTTGATTTGGTATGAAAGACACGTGCACGATGGATCCATGTTCCCCTCGTGACGTTCTGCGAGGCAGAAGATTCACTTCTCGTGCAACAGAACACAATGCATACAACTGTCCTTGCTGTGGAGCTCACGAGGGCAGGATATCCATTGATGTATATCAGGTGCTCCGCTTGGAAGGTCGCACACGGGCACTGGAAGAAGCTGCCGCTGTTGCTGCTGCTGCGGGATATGAAGGAGAGGCACAACGGGGCGCGTCAGTGATCGACGGACTCTCTAAAGCGCGGGTGGCATTGGCGCTCAAAAGCGCTGCCGCGAGGAGGCAGCGCGACACCGTCAAGACGATGACTTCCGAGGTGTGCATGCTTCTTTTGGTCGCACATGAGTGTGGATCAGTCGGAAGATCAGTACATTCGAAACTATCTTGGCAAGCGATCGCTTCTCGAGAACATGATTTTGGCCTTGAGGCTCAAGAATGATTGGCAGCTTGCCGTCATACCGATATTGAGGTGAACATCCAGATGGATTGTCGGAGTGATGGTTTCGCAAACAATCCCGCCCGTTGTGTCGGCACCAGCTCGAAAAATGGCATCCTCTTCACCGAAGAATTCCTCATTTACAGAACAACGGTTTCCCTGATATGGAATCTTGCGTATTGATAAGAGCCCACCAAAACACAATCACAGGTGGGTGTTCCCAGTGGAGGTACCGTTAGGCAGCCAACGCGTGAGCCTGTGCTGCATTATTTTCTCATTCTTGCCAACCCTCAGCATCGGCCTGCTTCTCGCGCTCCATCCCCCACAACCCTATCGCCTGGACTGACTAAAAAGGTGCGCCTTGCCGACGTCCAAGTCGCGGCTTCCTGGCATGACGTCATGTCCCCCATGCCTCCTCCTTCCGATGGCGAAGCCGTCAACAGCACGGAAGCCCCGATATTCAGCGGTGGCTCTACCGTTTCTTCGGCATCGACAACGGCGACGGGGGTGGCGGGGCGCATAGCGACGTCTACAAATGCTCCTGGCGGGGGAATACGTCGTCGAAACGATAGCGGCGAAGACTCATTAGCAGCAGAGACGGCGGGAGAGATGATGAGGTTCCAGATCGAGGCTGGCGACGGTCTTTCCACGGCCGATGCTGCAGATCTCACATTTATTCTTCGAAAGGTAAGTTGACCTTCACTTGCAACAGGCATTCTTCATTAGGACGTGGCATAAATACGTGGAACACGGCGCTAGCTTCCTCGTACCAAAATCATTGGGCTGGAGAGGCGGGCAGAAGAAATTGTGACAGGCTAGGGAGCTCGAGAGCGGCAAAGAGGGCCACTTCCATTGTTTTGTTTGGAATGAAACGTTAGTCCATTAGAACTAACCCTATCCGTGCTGATAGGACCACTGTTTCATCCCAACATGGGGGGTGGTTGGTGTAGTATGGAAGTTAGAAACTCCCGGTGTTCATGGCTATGCAGTGTTTTCTGCACGGGGTTTGGCGTGGTAGTTGACTCGAAAGAAAAATTCAAGTGTCATTAAATGTTGGTTCTTCTTTCATATTTTCTGTTGCTGCTGCTGCTGATTGCATTCAGAGCGTGATCGGTTTGGGAGAAAACAGCAGCCGTTCCGTTAGCAACCGCAGCAGCAGCAGCAGCAGCAACATCAACAGCAAGACATCTTCGGGTGACATCTCCATCCATTCGTCGTCGGCAAGAGGACTAAGCTCTTCGGAGATGGTTTCGTCCTCGCGTCCATCATCGTCGTCGTGGCTGTCGCGCTGTGGTGGTGAGTCAGTGGCAGTGCCGGGGTCAACGCCGCTAGAAGTAAAGCCCGGCCTGGCTGCACGGAAAGTGCTCCGCACGCTCAGGATGTACGTCACGAGGCTTCGGGTGACCAAGGACAACGAAGCTAAGGCGGAGGAGTGAGTTCAAGAACTGTACCGGACGGTTACAAACACTTTTATATTTCTTCTTTGGTTATGTGACGGGGAACGCCACTTCGTGAAGTACGGGCATCGACGGCGGTGTTCCATGAACGTAGGATTGCACGATAGGCCATGAACCGCGTACACATAAGACGTTGTGCGCGGTAACCTCCGGGCGTGGATAGCTGGTATCTTGAGTTCGTTGGGGGGGGAGCCGATTGGGACCAACGCCGCTGAAAACAGACACAGGAGTGCCCACCTCACGGGAGGAGGCCTCTCGCGGTGCCACCGAACGTATAGTCTATGCCAGCCTCGCCTTGGAGTTTGAAGCAGAGTTTCAGCTGTGCTGGACATGTTCAACGGTAACTCTGCCCTAGTCGCGATTGGGAGTTGTGAGGGACGTTGAAAATCGAATGCTTCCATTGCCAAATCTGCTTGACACCCTCTGAGCAACAAGCACAACTATTCGGAGGGAAACGGTCGCATTGGCGTTCAGTCTTTCCGTTCCAGGGTCGGTCGCAGCCTCGCGTTGGGCAAACAAACTTTTCGGTTTGTTTAAGGACACTGTCGGGAAAACATGCGTTTCGACGAAGGCTAGGTTGGAACAGTGGGGAATGCGAGAGTTGTTTTGAGGAGTGCGTGAAGTTCACATTCGGGTTGGTTCGTTGTAACGAGCTCCGTCTTTTCTTCTCTGCCGTGCCCGCCTCTGGATATTTCGTCTCGAATATCCGACCGCCATTCGCGCGCCCTCCTCTTGGTGACTTGATATTTTCACTCCGCCTGGAAGGATTGAATGGAAAGAAAAGCTGGAGGAACACAGGCTGGCGGCGACTGTCGTCATCCAGCGGTGGGCGCGAAGGGTCCGACACGACACGACCATGATTTTCCTTGCCAAGCAGAAGGTACGTATGCTGCTGCAAAGGACAGCGCGCTGCCCGACACCGTAACTCTGACTTTTTGTTGTCTGGCGATTCGTTGTTGATGTAGCTGAGGATGATGCTGCCTTTGCTGGTACTGCTGCGACTTTGGTAGTCGTGGTGGTGGGAACGTCGATGGTGGTGATCGTGGGTACTCTAGTTGAGACGCACAAGGCATTTCCGGTGTTGCCCGAACAGCCCGAATCCAGCATGTTAGTATTTAGTTGAGGTAAAATATGGCGCTTCCAAGGGCCTACAAGAAACGATTGGCATGACATGAAATCCACCCAGGCAAACATTCTTCGGTACGCTCGAGACAAAGCGAAGAGGCACGCTCTGGCAGAGGAGGAAAGGCAGGTTTTTGCTGCGAGAGAAGTGCTCAAACGGCAACAGATTCGCATCATTGAAGAACAGGCGAGTCGTTTGCCCTTGCAGTTTCATACACCCTTGCACCAGAATCCATGAGGCCAGAAGATCGGGACGAGCAGGAAGCAGGGAATCAGGAAAATATCATTCACAAAGCTGGTACATATTTGGTAGGGTGCCTGAAATCATTGACTGTGACTCCGCACTCTCTCACCTGCACGGAAACGAAGCTTCGATATTCCAGGCGTCTTAATTGCAGGCTAACAAGTACTAGGTTTCCAGGGCGTATCACCGAATGTGCAGGAGTGTGCACAGCGAACATTTGTTTGACACTGCACCCCGCCCTCGTCTAATGGCATTCACACCTCGAGTATTTTTTATCAGGAAGCGTTGGAGACTATTCTGAAGGATGCCATGATTCGCGAAGCAGACCAGAGATATTGGCGAGCCAGGATCAAGACCCAGACTCCCATTCTACGGGCTTGGAGGCGAGTACAAGGACCAACCTTGTGATGTTTACTTTTATCCGTACTTGTTTTGTAGATCCGTAGCTTGCCTCTCACGATCGGATTCCGTACACTGGAGCCGGGCAAATGACAGAAGGCCTTTGACCACAACACCAATCGAGCAGGATACAGGTAAAGGTGGAGGTGCGATTCCGGTCTCACCGGTGCGGTCGCCTCTGCGGGGTGTTGGCGGACTGGCGTGCTTGGATCGTGGGAGATCGAAAGAGGCGTGCTGCCGTGGCCAAGATTCAGCAGGCTTGGTTCGAATATCGCAGAAGGTGCGTCCTTGGAGGAAAAGTAGCCTTCGAGGTAACGGGGTCATACTTTTCTGATTGGATAAACGTGCCCGTCCACCACAGTCAACACTTGTTCGTGCAATTAGGGGCAGCGAACTCGTTTCTTGAGGAAGTATGGCTTGCCGCGAGTCACCAGTACGAGCACGCCTGTGCCTAGATTCCACGAACATGGGCCTTTTCAAGCCGAGGTGCTCTTTCGGTCCCCGAACCACACGTATGACAACCATCACATGCTGTGATATTTTGGGCCATTCGAAAAGGGCAAGTCGTCTAACAATGTGAGCTGCTTGCGTGGTAGGGGGAACACCTGTCCAGTACGTCCAACGATTTCTCTCGAAATAGACTTTGGTGCTTCGCCTGTTGAATCAGTATTCGAAAGTCGTCACGTGTTCAGACGTCCGACAACAACACAAATGGTAGCACATGGTTGAAACCAGTGTAAATCGTTTACCCAAATCTATGTAGGTGCCAGATGAGGCTCGCCATAATGGCGTTGACCAAGCGCCACGAGAGAATAAGGCTGTATATGATCCAGGCCCTGGGTCGCAACGCCGGCGACCACTTCACAAGATGGAAACTCTACACGAATTTCATGCACAAGGTAAGAAGGCCAAGAGCGTTGGCAAAGCGAAGTACCACCGACGTGGTAGGTTGTTGGGTTTGAAGCTGTGCTGTGGCAGGAAGGGCTATTGTATTTTCAACAACGCGTGCAATATCCCTAGCGAGGTGCACGAGAACTGTGGACATGCTCTCACACCCGACTGCTTTTGTCGGAGCCCAGAAAATCATCATTTTTCTGGCCATTTGTTCACTACCGCGATCGTGTAGGTCAAATTCGTTTTTTCGTTCGGACTTGCCTTCTGCCCTTTCTCCAGGTAAAACTGATGGGAGGCACTCATGTCCGACAGGGTCTGCAGCAACGTTTGAAAAGGTACAGTCACTCGTGGAGTGAAAATCACTTGTAGAGTGAATTATCTTCGGGTCTTCAAGATATCGCTGGGGCTTAGTGATCACTGGAACTTCGCTGGGCATGATGTAAGGCTTGTCCAGCAAACGTCTCGGTACTGTAGAGGGACTCGAAGCGTTGATTGGCTAGGACAGAACATCGTAAGGCCTTCTACCGCAAACGGCATCGGGGAACCCTCAACCCGCTCCTCTTTTCCACACGCGCAGTGAAATCTGACGCATATGGGGCCCTTTCTACCAACTACTCTTCAGCCGGAGTCGTACCACCCCTAGAATCTCTATCTAGTCACCCGATATGTCCCATATGCCCAGAGATTATTGTCGCTACCGTCGCTATTGGGTCGGGGTGCGTCATCAAGTTTGGACCACCTTTTCGCTGCATGACTCATGCAATTGAAAGCAAGCTGCTCGCGGCGATCACCCGCCCCCAGCCAAAGTTAGTCAAGCACAGCAATCTGTAAACCGTGATTCTTAATCAACCGTGGTTTTCAACCTTGCGTCTTTGTCGGTCGTTGTTGTGCAGGTGGAAGGCCTTCACACGCTCAGCGAAGGAGGAGCGGCTCGTAGCGGCGGCTCGGTTGCAAGCACTCGCTAGGGCCATGAAAGCTAGAAACACGACCAAGGCGCTCCGAAGGGAGCGCTGGGCAAGAACCATGATCGACCGTCAGGCAAGTACATGTAATTCAAAGCGAGAAAAACATAGTCCGGACAAATCCCGGTCTTGCACCCTAAATACCAAATACGAAACTAACCACCTAACTACGAAATCGGTCTCTGAGGGGGCCCTTGCCTGGGCGAATGACAACGGAACGTATCTCGAGGCAATGCAAGGAGGGTGCTTTTGTGATCTACCCGCTAACAGCGGATGCTCGTTAAGCATTGGCCAGGCTTTTCATCAGGCATGTCATGCTGCTCTTCGCTGCGCAACAGGGATTTGTCAACTTATCTTCCAATCCTTATCTCTTGTCGAAACAGCGACAACGTGCTTGCAAACGTTTTTGACGATGGGATGATGAGCCAGTTGTTCCACGCCCCGACGAGCAAGTATTGTGTGACGTATGCGACAACCCACCAAATGAACCGAAAATCTTCATGCGCCACGTACATGATGACCGAAACCGGACGCACCGCATACAGCAGCGTTGACAAAGTATCACCCCGGAATGCACGGAGGCATGCTGTTGTTGTAGCATCCACCCGCTTTTTTAGATCGAAGACATGCGAAGGGGGTAACTCCCCTACAAAAACGTGGTCTGTGTGTTCCGATCCTCCCACAAATCTCCCACGAGTTTACCCTTCGGACTGCCGAATGGTCTGTGTGTTTCGCCCCTCCCGCACATCTCCCACAGCTTACCGTTCAGATTGCCATCGTTCGCTTCGGGAAGTGGAAGCGGCGTATGGCACGGCTAAGAGTCGAGGTCGCGGCCTTCCGAAAGGGGAAGGACGACGCTTTTTTCGTCCGAGTGTTGCGGGAATGGCACGGGGATGCCCACGGGCGGGCGCTTGTCAGGCGAAGCATCGTTGGCATGGCACGCAAGAGAGACGAGCGGGTGTGTTCGGCGTGCTCGACGGGGTATTCTGCGATTGTCGACCCAATCAAAAAAGGCTCTCTCGGCCAACTTAAGCGGCCTCTATGTTGAAAAAGAAGAGTCTTCGGGGTGTTGAGGCATAGGGTACGTGTCATTTTCGCCTGTCAGGTATCCAAGTAACGATGAGAGGGGTGACAGTGAACAACTGGTACCATGTTTTCCCAACAGGTGCGGAGGGCAGCGATTTCAGGATGGAGAGAAACCGCCGCTGGTATCGCACAAAACCGGCGGAGAAAAGAACAGACGGAGGAAGAACGTGCGGCCGAGCGTTCGTGTGCAGCCACCTTAATACAGGCGGCGTGGCGCTCACATAGCACCAGAAAGGTATGCCATTTATCGTAGACGTTGCTTGGAATGTTATCCATCCGCGCACGCTATCATGCATAGTCTAGCTCCTAGGCCTATTTCTACCGCTTTCGAGGAGCGCTGTGTGGTCTTACGGTGGAATCACACCCGTTTTCAAGGTTTCATTCTCGCGTGCGCATGGTGCCAAACAAAATATAAAGTAGCTGACTTTCCGTGGTCACAAGGAGGTGTCCTAGAGATGGGTGTCATGACGTTCTTCCTGGGCTTGGTATGTACAGCATATCTGCATAGTTCGTTGGAGAACATGTACCTGTTCGCTCGGTAGAGGCGCTTAAGACTGCGCCCGAAAAACGCTAGACTATCCTTTGAAGAACTTGAGATATGTGATGAGGCCACACCGTTCTCACCCGCCATTGTTTTTCACGTCGATTTCGTTTCCGTGCATGGTTGCCTGAACTGACTATTTCAATCCCTTGGGGTACATTGGACCAGGCGTTCAAACACCTTGTGAGGGAGTGGAGAGCGGCCGTGATCATTCAGAAACGCTGGAGGGGCTTCCAAACGAGAAGCACCACTACCACAAAGGCAAGCCTTGACTGTAGATATTCCTCCTGCAGCTGAACGCTTCCTCTTAACGCCGGTGCGGCGGCCGAAAGAAAGCTGACAGGATGAACACGATTGTTATCGTTACAGCGTCGGACAGATGCAGACGCACATTCACCGTGATACATGGTACGTTTCGGACGGCAAGATCCAGATCGAAAGCTGCCCCAAGAACATTCGGTCGACAGGCACTCCCATCAGGGCTTGACTTTTCAACCACAGCGAGACCTCAGGGACAAGATGACCCACACCATGCAGTGGCCCCGAACCAAAGGACCTGTGAATACATGGCACTCATTATCCTAACTTTCGGGGCACATCCTAACTTTCCAGGCTGAACTGGACAACGGGGCCATCGCGCTTCAGAGACTCTTCAGAGGCCACCAGGCTCGATCTAGGTGTGTGGCACTGCCATCGCCTCCGTCTTCGCCTTTGCTGATGTTCCCGTTGTTCCCGTTTTTTTGCTGCCATCTTGTCTCTCGCAGATTTTACGCATGAAAACCCGCGCATGATCCAGCGACTTAATTTTTGTCTCACCCATGAAGAAAACGATGGTCACGGTTACCATGCCACAGATGTGGCAAATAAAACGAGATATGTTTCGGTTCTAGGCGCTTGAAGCGTGAAAAAATAATGAGTTTGTAGGTTCTTCAGGAAAGTCAGAAACAACCTGGTCTTGCAGGGAGCTCAACCTTTCTCGGCAGGTCTTGTGGACGCAGTCAGGTGGGGCAGGCGTACAAGGAAATGATGTAGCGTGGACCACAATACGGAGACTACCCACCAGGTCAAGCGGTATCCTTGCCAATTTCATTGACTTTTGGATACTTTGCTCTTCAACGACACTTTCTTCGTCACTGCATGTGTTCCCGCCGCTCTGTGCACCGCAACATACAGGCACATACCCTTTCTAGAGCATGTCGGCTAGAGTTTGTCGCATACGTACTTAGCGTATCCGATTTGTCTCTCGTTTTCGCCCCCACGATCTTTGACACGAACACTTCTTAGGTATCTGTCTTTCTTCGTGAGCGAGGCAGGTCGAGCAGCCTCAACAGGCCGTTATGAGCGGCTCTTTTGGCTTGCGGATAGATGGCCCGCACTCACTCAGCACGAGGTTTTCGCCGCAATGCTGGAGGGAGGCGGTGGTGGCCAAGGATTGCTGCACCTTGCTTGCCGAGCGACCGCCCACCGCTGTGTTGAGTTGTGCCTACAGCGGGAGGTCAGTCCAATTTGTACATGTTCACGGCGATCAAGGCCTGGCAAACTGCCGGCCTAGTTTGCGGAAAACGCTGACACTACGTCTGCCTCTGCCGACCTCAGATTATGCACTACAGAACACAATGTGTTTGGTCTACGTAGATGTACGGGATGACACGTTCGACATAGCCCCCAGCTGTACTGGAGGTAGGCTTACCACCCTCCCTCGATTTGTCCGAAACATATTCATAGGCGGATGTTCATGCGGTCACCCCTGCTGGGCTGACACCCCTCCACTGCCTGGCAATGTACCAAGCTCCTCCGCGAGGCGATAGAGCTCACCACGGTTACGGAGAAAGTCTCACGGCTGTGGATGATTACGACCGCAATTCTGAAGATGATTATAGTGGAAGCCCAAATCGTCGATCCAAGACGTCGACAGCAGTTGTGGCCGTTCCCCCGACAACAGCACCAGTACCATCATCGAATTCAGCTATTTCAGCAACAACGGGGCAACGCGGGTTAGGCATAACTTTGCCCGATGGCCGCTCGGTGGCCGTGCAGCAGCAGCAGCAGCAGCAGCAGCAGCAGCAGCAGCAGCAGCAACAGCGACAGCAGGAACGCCAGTACAACCAGCAGCAACGAAAGCTTTCGGCGGACCGGTCGGCAAGGACAATCGCTGATATGCTGCTAGACGCTGGGGCTAAACCAGACGCCGTCGACGGCGATGGAAACACGCCCCTTCTCACCGCTGCCAAGACGGGAGCAGCCGTGCTGTGCGAGATCCTTCTCGCTCGTGGAGCAGATCCTCGCGCCAGGTCAGCAGTAACCGCTAACGTATTTTTCGGTGCCGCTGCTGTCTGACCGTACCGTTGGTGTGTGCGGGGGGCACTGAGGGACACGTTGTCGTTTACAACGCCGCAGACCGTCATCGCTATCCCCCCACTCGTTACCGTTTTGCCACCTGACCTTGGCATGGTCCGAGCGCCTTGACATCACGAGCTGTTATTGTGCATGGGAGGCATGAAATGGAGTAGTGGGACAACATGTCGAGCAACGTTACATATGCATTCGAAGAATCGCCAACAAACAACCAAGAGGATGGTTGTGGCCAAACAAGCAAATCGGCTGAACTTCGGCACGTTTTTGATATCGGTGGGAGTCTGGAACGGGTTGTTTGCATAGTTCCGCGCTGTGCGCGGTTCTCTCGATTATTCTATTCTACTCGGAGCTACATGGACACGTCCGGCTGAAATTGGCCCCGAAAGAGATCTAGTATTTCGGACATACCCTGGGTAGTGCGAGCGAGCGTGGTTGACACGTTGTGGAGGGCGCTGAATAGGTATCCAGATTGACGAGCGAGAGACCCGCCGTGACTCCCTCGTGCTTGCTGGAACCAACGTGTCGCGACGTGCTCTGTTGTCTCTTGATCAGGAACAAATCGGGATCGAACGCCCTGCTTTTAGCGGTGGATGGAGACAATTCTGCTGAGAACTCGGCATGCGTACAGGTTCTTCTAGATGCAGGTATGCTTCACTACAAACTCAAACCCTTCAACCCCTTAAGGCCATTTCCGTCGAACACTCATAGGTTGGCAGATTTGAAGGCAACGAATATTTTCGCTGCTTGCTACGAGCTTGCCATAAAACCTTCAGACCTTTCGTGATCAGTACAAGGTTCGATATCCTAAAGCCTATCATTTTCCATAAGAACTGCGACCAAGCCAAGGTGTTCTATGAAGGACCAAGTATTGCACATTGTCTTTTTGTGCAATGCACCGAATGAGCCCAAAAGCTAGTATCCCCCCCAATTTTCATTTCGTAAGTGCGTGCACATTCACATTCCTCCCCCCTCCGCCCTCTTGGGGACCCCGTACTCTGCAAAAGGTTCGGACCCTCACGAGACCGGACCGGATGGAACTGTTGCCCTGCACGTGTCGGCTCACAAGGGACAGACAGAGGTATGCAAATGTCATTAGATGCGTGGTGATTGTCGTCCGTGCAGCATTTCGGTGTGTTCGAAACATCCTTCATGGCTCTACGACGTCGTTGTTCTAGATTGTATTTTCCTAAGCGCAGCGCCCGGGGGGTAGCAACGGTCATCTCGCCAGTGCAGAAGGTATCGAAATGGTAAAAGTAATGCCAAGCAGTGTTTAGTTCCACCTCGTCCGTGTTGCACCTAGCATTGCTCAGTCGTTATTTTTCTATATAGTGTTTTCAAGTCATCGTGGGGCGCATTGGGCATAGGCGCGCTACTTGTCCGACCATTGTTGTGCTTCGAAGAACTGGCTGCAGCTTTGAGCGGAAATCCTCGTCAATGCATTGTTGGGGTCGGGAACGAGTGGTCGACTCTATAAGATCGGCTCAAGTTGTAGGACCAACGCCGATTGTTTTTTTTTCCTGGCAGGTTTTGTGGTCCCTCCTCCAGCACGGGGCACGCGTTGATGTTGCGGATGTCTCTGGCCTGACGCCACTCGCGTACGCCGTGAGCAATGACCACGGGGATGCTACAGGCCTCCTTTGCGACTACGGAGCAAACGTGAGTAGGCGTTGAGCATTAGAAACGGGGAGGTGACTGCCAGTGCCAGCGCTTTCGACTGTGCCAAAAAAGAGTGGTGGTTTGCACAATTTCGAAGCGACGAACAGCGGGTGCTTGGATTGCGTTGAAAGGAGACAAAGGTCGACAAAGAACATCTAGGAGGTAAACGAGGCGACGGCAGGGTACAATCCAGTACCCACTCCCCCACCCGTTAAGAATGGGGGAATGACGTCCGCATACACTATATATCTCCAATACTGACTACCATACATTGCCTACATGCATTGCTTCGAAAACAACTACAGCACGTGTATGTGTTGCAGTCGAACAACTCACGACCATCATGTACGTACAGCGACCGTTGTGTCCCCTTCATGGCTGCTGATATGGAGTCAATTGTTGCGCTTTTCGCGGCAAAATCAGCTGGACTTGGTGGACGCCGCCGGTCGGACAGCTCTTCACGTGGCCTCCCAAGATGGGAAGGTCAACGCATTGGCCGAGCTTCTCGGGAGGTCGGTCAACGTCGATGCCAAGGACGCCATGGGAGAGACTGCTCTTCACTACGCAGCCTACTCGGGGAAGGTGCTACAGTACAACGAGCGAAACGTACAGTACTGGTATATACGGCAGTGACATTATGTGCGCTTGGGGCCCAAGGTTTCTCGTCGGGGAGCAAACAACCTACCTCCCTTCGCGGAAGGTGTAGAAACTCTACATCTAGTTTCTTGAAGGTAGCAACGACAGAGGAATCATGTTGAGGTGGAATTATTGCTCCAGCGTCACACCCCGTCTCATACAATCTCATATGCATACTTCGCACAACGCCTACGCGACCCCGCGGCGGCAGGTTGAGGCGGTGCGAGCGTTGCTAGAGACTGGCGCCGACCCGTCTTTGCAGAGCCTGAGAGGGGACAACGCGGCGCATATCGCGTCAAGGGCAGGATATGTTGAGGCGAGTTTTATCCCCTGCCAGGGACATCGCCTGACCTTATCACAACCGACACTCCTGCATCAACTGAAAGACAGGTTGTATTGGTTCCGCGCGTGTGGACAAGGAGATATTTGACGTGTTTACCGCTGTGAGGGAAAGGAATGACACGATATGCCCTCACACCGAACAATGATTCGCTCAAATCACTTAGTTCCCACGCCTCTACCCGAATAGAAAACAGTCGTCGTGTCTGAACCAACTGACGACCTCGTGTGTTTGTGGTATGTGTCGAACCTCCCTTTCTCCTCGTCCTGGTTATTGTGCTTCAGATTGTCCGAGCTTTGGTGGAATATGATGTTCGCATCGGACAGAGGAACTGGCAGGAGTACACCCCCTTCGGCGAGGCGAGGATGAACAATCACTCCCAGGTATGACAACGTCCAGCGAAGGTCTTCAAGCTAAACCTCTTGGCGTTTGTTTTCAGTTACGGACCCTACGTCATCCCTGGGCTAACCACTAGCGGGAGCGCGTCAGCCTTCAGTAGACCACCACGACCAGCTAACGGGCGCACATCTGCTTTGGTTACAGCACTGCCACGGTGCTGAGATACGAACTGATCGTCGATTAGTCGTTTCTGAATGTCATGAATTCATTCATCTGCCAATGAGTTTCATGCCAGTTCTAGTTCAAAAACTCCCAAATGCCGCATGCAAGAGGCTAGAGGCAAGGCTTGGGTAATCGAATGTGTGTGCTTTTCTACCTCAATTGGTCCCACCGGCGAATCTCATCGTTTGACCATACTCCACGTCAATGGCATCACATCAAGGTGGCCGAGTTCCTCTCAGGCAGCTTTGTTCGGCTCGGGGGTAAAGGTCCCTCGCTGGGCGGAAACAACGGCGCAAGCACGACGATTGCTGAGCTGGACGATGCCCAACAGCAGCAGCAGGGTGGGAATGAGGCACGTGGGTGGGACAAGGAGATGGAAGACAAGGTCCAAGGGTGGGAGACGGAGTGGGATCAAGACAAACAGAGGTTCTACTACGTCAACGCTGAAACGGGCGAGACCAGCTACACGGCGCCGTTTAAGATATCCGTGAGTGTGATGTGGCACGCGGCCGCATGTTACCAAGGCAATCGCTCGTAACCCCGGAAAGTCTAGCCAATGACAGTTGAGCACGCTCACCTTTGAAACAGCGCGGACGAAATAAGCAGCGATCTTCAAGTGTGCCTGAAGCGACCTGCAATCATACCCTCCAGGCCAAGCCGTGTCACCAGTGGAAGCAATATTTCAGAGTGTCATCTGTTTTTTATTGCCCGCATCTTCTGCCAGGCGGATCGAGTCGAAGAGTTGAGGGAAGGCGCCGAGGTGGAGTATCTCCGAAAAGTGGCCCCAGTAAACGGTGAAAGCCTGCTTGGGCTCTCCGACTACAGGTATTTTCAATGGGGAACAGATTGTGCTATGTAGCTGTCGGGTTCTCTTGCCGTGGCTGCAGCAAATTCTTGTCGTTGCTGCTGTCGTGGGCATCACATTGCCTCGTTGGATCTAAGCTTGAACCTGAGCGCTATCGTAAAACTGTTTCAGGCGCACGTCTTCCAGCGTATGCCATCCGACAATAGGCGGTCTGCCCCGCGGACAGGGGGAAAGAAACTTGCCGACGTTCGCAATATCATCACAGTTCGTGCTCCAATTTGTTTTTATGCCTCCAGACTTCATTCTACAGTAGTCTGGGTGTTTTTCCCTCTGCTGGCCGGTGCTGTTTGGTTCTGTTGATGTCGGTCACGCTTCTGCTCTCCCCTCCCCCGGCCTCTTCGTGTGTGTCGGTTGTGTGCGAAACGTCAACTAACAAAAGGGAGGCTTTCCAGGAAGAGAAAACGGAACTGGACACGCACAAGCTCAGACATCAGGTACGTAAGTGGAGCTCGTGGCAAATGTTGACGCTTGCCACAAACTGATGCTCGGGGCTAGTGTCAGGCAATGTAGCGCGTCCCCAACCTAGCCCAACGAATGAGGCGGAAGATATAACTGGAGTGTTAATTGCCTTTACGGTGAAAACAGGCGTTTTCAACTCGACTAGGCCTTTATTGTGTGGTGGTAGGCGGCGTTATTAGTGGTATCTTTAGGCGGTCCTCTCGTCAGCAGCTGCGAGTGGACCCCCCTGGATGTATCTGACGGTTAGGAATAGGGCTCGGATACCGATGATGGTCCCGGTGTGGAAACCCTAACCCTCCGAGTAGATGGACCCCACCGAGAAGGGCTTGGGGGAGGAAATCAAGGCCCGAGCAATCTCTTTTTCGCTGCACTACGGTAGGGTGCGACCGATTACGCATCTCGCCTGTACATTCCTCTGGCCAACTTACTCCATTGTTCTTCAATGTGTTGAGCCAACACGTCGGCGTTAATTTACTGTGATGACCTTCTGCACCATATTCTGCTTTGGCGATTTTTTCTCCGCAGGCGGCCGTAGTGATTCAATCGTGTTGGAGGGCTCGGATGGCCAGGATTGAGGCGAACCGCCGTCGAAAGGAACGAAGGTGCGCATTGAGAGCAGAAGCTGTTTCGAGTCATGTAGAACCTAGGCGCAAGTTCCGACACGGAATTCCGTCGACAGAACACGGTTCTTAACGTGGGCAAGGAGGCTTTCCGCCGCATCTCATGACGGAGGACAGATCTTCTTGAATAAACTATGTGATCCAACCCAGTTGGGGTAGCCAATTGTTGAAGGCAGCTCGGTCATCATATTTGGCATTCCTCCCTCCACCACCGAAGCTCGCAATTTTGTCTGGTTGCACCGCCACTTGAACCATCATATTACTCTCGCGGAGAGCAGATGCGCCAGCGTGATTAATCGGCAAATGCGACGGTTTTTGGGGAGATGTCGGCGAAAACGCTTGGGGCAAGTGATGTCGGCGTGCCTGATGCTGCAGAAGATCGTCCGAGGATGCATGGCCAGGTGAGCCAGCAAGCGAGCGAGGAACAACCGGGGCTCGTTACAGCAGTATGCGAGAATATCGCATCTTCTAAACACCGCTGTATCACCAGCACTTATTTGAGCAGGTCATTAAAGGGATGTCTACCACTAGCGCTATGGAGTCTGACTGTCGAGCAGCTTCTTCCACAGCCTATTTCGATTATATGGTAGAACGATCGACTGGTGAAAAATACAGGTATTCGAAGGTGGCCCGTATCATGCAGCAATGCGCCTTCTTCGCCTAAAAAATTCTGCTGTAGACCAGGTTGACGGCAAATAACTACATCAACGCGTAAAACGTGCAGGCGCCGACACCGCGAGGGCGAGGCGGAGATGAAACGCTTGCGGGACGCCAACACCCTGAACCGCCTGGTGACGAGAGTCTACAGAGGACACCTGTACGGTAGAAGGCCGGCCAGACAACTCAGGGCGCAACGGGAGGCGTCTTGGTGGGGTCCTTCGGAGTGGGAGGTGACCTAAGACAATTGTGTTGTTCTGTTCTTCAACGACCACTACATGGTGCCCACGAACAGAGGCATTGATCGGCGGTGTTTCATTCTTCGACTCTAGGAATAAAACGAAAGCACGCCGTAAGCCAGCCATGATAATTGTTCTCACCATGCCGCACGGACCCTTTTCACTCGACAACTCAAAGGCGGCTCGGCACGATGCCGGCGATCCTTTGCGAACGTTCTTTGGTTGGACTGGCCAGTGGGAGGCCTACCTTCTCCAAGGCTCCGTGGACGTGATGTTCTACAGGTGAGGGGAGGAGGAGCTTCGTGAAAGTCCTACGGATGGAGCCATACCGGGTGTAGTTAACTATAGTACAGGATGCCTTCGCCTACACCACATGGGTAGGTCTTGGTTTCGCGGCCCGTCCCACCAAGTGTCTTCCAACACTTGCCGACAGCACGCTTAGCGTGCTGCCTGTGAAGTGTTTGTCGGCTGCCTGCAAATAGCTGAAGGTGAAGGGTTCACCAAATCAACCACAGCACGTCCAAACGATGCGGTACATGGAAACGGTACGGTACATGGTCAAGAACACTAGCTTCAGGAAGTCTTCAACCCGTTGGAAATGAGAGAAAACTCATACTAACATACGGCCACCGGATGCCCGGTTCAGCGGAAACGCTCAGCATTGGCGGACGACAGCGCATAAAAGGATGTGTCGTTGTCAGGCACCAAGCCATGGCACGCACTTGCTAGGCGAACCTCTCGTGGCTGGCTGCGATGATCGTCGGTGCCGGATTATGACCCTGCAGTAGAAGCCTGAGAGGCATCTTGACGATGTCAAGCTAACGTATGCCGTTTTCACCTCCATTTCCACGTCCACACAACGAAAGGGTCTGATGGAACTTGCGCGGCAGTCTATAAAACGTCAACAACAACGAAAAAAGACAGAAGAATGGGTTGGCTCCATTGACCCGCCGTTTGTTGCACATCTGGCGCACCGTCCGTCGCAGAAACGCCGCCTCGGCAGAATACACCTGGGACTTGCCGGAGGAGTGGCAATCGCAAGACGCCTTCGATTTCTACCAAAGAGAGGTAGGTATACGGCGCAGGAAGCAAGCTTTCAAACACGAACAATGCGTCAATATGCCATCACAACATCCATGCCGATGGTGCACAAACAGAACCGCCTCAACTTAGGAGTCAAAGACGATGACCAGCTGTAGCAAATCCGAACAAATGAGTAAGGGTCGGATATTGAACGGAAGGTTGCACACACCCTGGGCCGATTCCCGCACCAACATCTGAGAGAGCCCGAAACAACAGCTGTTAGCTGCGGTAACAACGGTGACAGGCTTGGTTGTAGGTATGTTTCCACCAACTCGGGATCAATCTCAACGAGCTCCAAATGTGTCTACGGCCGATTCACCTGAAACAGTCGCATTGGACCACGCCATGGGAGTCCTGAACCATGTCAAGTCCTCATTGTCTAGAAAGGTGTTGACTATCACGACGGAGAGCGTATTGAACGTGGTTTTTCAAGGGGGCTATTCGCATACACGATAATTCTGAGACTTTAGAAGCGATGACAGGTCATGCTCGTTCCTTGCGGATAAAACTGATTGTTGCAAGCCGTACCGGACCGTGTATTGTCCCCCGTCCCTGTCTGCCTGCATTATGTTTCACTAATGTTGAAAGCACACCCGCATACACGGGTTCACCGCGGAGGAAGCTGAGGCGGCAACGTTGCTCCAGAAGGCGTGGAGAGGAAAGACTTCTCGGAACCACTTCAACCTTTTGATGCGCGCACAGAAGATTTGCAAGTGAGACACAAGGGCTGGCCAAGATGGTTTCGTTTCGCCGTCGTGACCACAGAAAGTTGGACCGGTTCTTTTACCGACAAGAACCAAACCTTTGCATCCGTGGCGAAATTAACACGCTACGATGTTTAGATGTTTAGGGATGAAGGACAGATGCAGGTTGCGTTTGGTCAGAGTTCTTGGTCGATACTCCAGGACGGGGCCGATGGTGTTCGTTATTCGTTGCCTGGCACATCTCGCGTCATTTCTGTTGATGCCTCGCCTTAGCCCCATGCACCGTGTACTATTTCCATGCGAACGGCCATTCTCCCTTTCAAGTGTCCCTCGTCGATCATCTTGAAGGTGAATTTGCTTGGATTCCTTGCGTGCCTTGCGAGGCATTGCCTTACTGCATCCGTTGGTTACCCTGAACGTGATGTGATCGTTGTCCATGATAAGACTGCCTCGTGGACGAGTTTTTCTCCTTTTCCGCCCAAACGATGGCTCATTTTTTTTATTCTGCAGGGGTGCGGAAGCGGCGTACCTCGCAGACCCGGACAACTTGCGCAGCCAGATCAATTACATCCTCTTCACGCACGTCATTGAGTGAGTGTCCAACAATCAACAACTGGAAGCGAGGCTCCATCCAGATCTTATTGACAAACCTTCTGGTGAATAAAACGGGACCATGTTTCCACCTGCGTTGAAGGAAGAGCAAACAGCAAACAAAATGGGGAGCATGAAGCAGGTAGAGAATTCTGTGTCACAATTGATGTCACTGCAATGATTTGCGCCAACGACCCCCAAACCGAGTGGATGATAAAGATATGTCAACCAGCTTTGGAATTTCTCGCCCTTTGGTTTATTCGACGCAGTCATATTTAGGTTACGTAATTACTCGGCATCCGCGGGTATTACAAAGTATGAAAGGCCGATTCACATGCTGAAACATATTGCGTGCGACCGTCTACTCCTGCTTTTTTCAGCAAGGACTACAACCGTTCTCGAATCCTCTACACAACCGCTTTGGCGGCTATGGAGCAGCGAGGTCCGGACGTGCAGCTGCTGCTCTTTGCCTTCGCCATCTTCTGCTTTGTTACGAGGGTGAGGAGAGGAGAAAACGACACGAATTCTGCCACGTATGCCTTCGACGCTGTTCGCATTTGTCCATGAAATAGTGCCGTATCCGCATTGGACGCGACGCCGTCGCATGTACTCCGGGGTACATGCTATCTGGGCTTCCTTTGCAGGAGTGTTCATGGCGGTTGGGATAAGTATTGATTCGGATGTTAGACATCAAGTCTTGAAGATGTGCGGCCGGGCCATCTCTTTGTAGTAGCCGATTCTGATTGATTTTACTAGGAAAAAAAAAGCAACAACTCATGCCTTCCATTGGTCCCGAGACGCCGGAATCCTGATGTTAACCTTTCTATTTCCCCAAGTCCCCACGGGGTAGCATTAAGTGCCTGAAGGAAAACTACGGTGTTGCGGTTGACCTGGTATCCGTTTCATAGCATCAACACAACGGGAACAGGATGAAACGATTTGCATGCCAGACACCGCAGTTTTCTGTCACGGTACTTCCAACGTACCAAAGGATAGGAGAATTACACTCCCGTCCGGGCCTTACTTCGATCTAGTTCCCAGCCCGCAATTCCTTGGGTGTTGTCCGAGAATTCACTGAAGATCTTCCTGTTGTTCCCAAAACAGGGCGGTATCAGAGCCGATGTACACGACGCATCGGGGCTAACGTTCAGCAACATCCAAATGGATACCCCAAAGTCGGCCGCATTACCTCCTGATTCCCATCGCCGCATTCGCATATCCCCTGGCACCAAGCAGGAGGAGGACTTCGTGTCGATTCTTGCTACGGTTGAGCGGGCCATCGAAGCAGGGGCGGCGAGGGATGATGCCGATGGCATTGGCCGTCGCTGGCCTCCCGAGAGCTACACGTCAAGGCGAAACCCGAAGCGGTTTGCGCTGGCGGAGGTAAAGAGCAGCAGCAACAGATAGGTAGCAACTAGTTCTTCCGTCTTGCCACGCGGATCCTTTTTACTGCCTGGGGTGGGTGAGGAGAAGAAAGATACACATCGTATTCGAACTTTGTTCAATGGTGCCTGCGTTGACTGACTATGTCCTCGACTCCGTCTCTTGGCCTTACCCTCGGGCTGCGTTGTCTGCCAGCCCGGTGTACACAAGTTGTGTCTTTCCTCCTCCTTGTGCAGCTCAGGGTAAACTCTTTTTCAGCGTCGTGAATCAGTTTGGTCAAAAAGTTACACCTTCCCTTCCGTCGAGGCCGTCACACACGCACGCGTTTTGGACTCAACGACTTAGGCACTAGGCAGATTGGGCCATTCGTTTTGCTCATATTGGTCGGGCAAGCGCATTGTCGCACTCAGATCGATCTGCCTCCTCCCTAGGCACAGTGGTCCGTTCGCTGCACCCCCGAAAGATTATGCGGTCTGTCAACAGCAAATGGAACAGACGAGGGTATCTGTTCCCGTTCCCGCACCGTCACGCCTCCTAGACGAGAAAATACGCAAACCACCGAAGGTACTAGTCTACTGTACATGGGGCGGTGAGGAGGAGTTCAGGCCCTTCGCCTGACGCCAATAACACCCGCTGCTACGCCCCCGTGCTTGAATCGCCCGGTGGTTTGACCGCAGGCCGGATTCTTCCGCTTCGCCGCGTACAACACCAACGATGCCGAATCGTGGCACAACTACGCGGCCTGCAGGCAGCTGGCCTACGGCGACTACGCTGGCGCTTCGGAGTGCTACTTGAAGGCCATCGAGAAGAACCCCAAGGACCCTAAACTGCAGGTGTCAGTGTTGCTGATGGAGCTGTTGTTGTTTCCCATGTGTTAAAATAGTTTGTATCTCTGGCTGTTACCCACTCCTTTGTGCTACGTCCACGCCCACACATATGTAAAAAGTGAACCAATCGGAGACGAATTTCCGTGTGTACGATTATCTCTGGCATGATGAAGCGGAAATACAAAATACACACGAAAACACAACACGGAGATGATTCTTGCGGCTTGAAGTTGACCCGAAAGACGCCGAAGATTAGAGTCTCATCGACAGAGGTAAAGACCTTTCGCGGATGGCAGGCGGGGGCACCAAACCAAACATATTGATTGGTTTCGCCGTGGCGCCGGATTTGAAGACTGCTCAGTGCGGTCTTCCGTCCTGTCGGAGAACGTTCTACTTTTCCTGCAAGGAGGCGACGTATTCGCTGTGTGTTTTATTGTTCATGTGGAGGTTGCACGTGCATGTATCTGCTGCGTGCCTAACCCGCTGCGGAATCCGAGACGTCCAAGACATGGACATTGGCATCGAGATGTATTTTAGCAGGCAATTGTTGTGGGAGGAATAGGCTTCAAGCTCATGTCGGCGCGTACCCTACACACTCAATCTGGCCAGAAATTTGCATTTCGTGTCTTGGTGTTACAGGCTACCGTGTCACGCCTTCCCGAAACCTGCCTGTGGGTGCTCCTTATGCTTGCACCGGGTGCACAGCGCAGAATGAAGCGTGTTTCTGACTCCGTCTGGATCGACGCGTGAACGATCCGACCAGCACCAAACCTCGGACACTGATGATTCCGCGTCGCCTCTCATTCGTCGCCGCCATTTCCAACAAACACCGACATCAGATTTATTGTCTCTTCCCTGTTTCGCCTGTGATTTTTTGTTCGCCGTGGAGATTTTGACTTCCGTCATCTGGCATATTTTACCGACTCCCAGACCAACAATTGCTGCAATTGACCCTGTTTAGCTTGTGGTGGTACGGACTGGTCTGTCTGGAAAGACAGACGAATTACTTAAGGCTTGACGGACACGTCTCTTCGATGCCATGGTTTTCTTTGACGTTCCCTTTGTATTGCGCCAGGCCAACTACCAGACCTTGATGGACACATTCCCAGAACACTCTCAGGGGAGCAGCACCTTCGAGAGCCTCAGCACGCATCACCAATCGCAGGTGCCGAAAAAGTGTCCCATTCATGTTCCTCGTCTATCGTATGGATATGTCTTGAAATTACTAACTTTACAAGATTGAGTGTATTAGTCGCCGAGCTTGGACAGGCGTTGTAGATGTCACTTTGTCACGGGTCCGCGAGATCTGTGCAATGTGTAGACTTGTGTGGCTCCCAATTTCACTGACAAAAGCGCTTTCGCAAGCGATGCCAGATGGGCTACCTGTAACACTGCCGTCAACAGGCTGAGAGCGATACTGAATGACTGCCATCCAACGACGAACACTCACTGGCGTTGAAGTGGTCGCTTGGTTCTTGTCGTGGTTGGGGCACGAAGTTTCTACCGAATTTGCGTTGCCTCATCATCTGACTCTGACCTAACTGTCGCTTCACCTTGAGCAACATTGACAGCAACAACAACAACAACACACACACACACACACACAATCACGCACACGATCACAACGACAACACCTGCAGGCGGAGAATGACAAGAGACGACAGGACACGGCGTCGGCCAAGTTTTTACAACGACCCGAAGTAAAACAGGCAGTTATCAAGATCGAGGTGATGATATCCCCCGATTGTTGTCCTGTGCGCGATGGTTGGGGCGGTAGTGGTGGGGGGCGGGGGTTACGACATTTGCTTGACGATCTCAGCCTACAAGGGTGAAACACTCATCCATTCGTGTGCAGGTTAACAACCGCGTGTGTACGAAAAAAGGATGTATTTTTGGTTGGTCCAGCTGGGTTGCTTTCGTTCGCGCCCTCTCGGCGTCGACAACCAGTTCCGTGGTGAATGGCAGATACGTGTCATCTTATTTTATTCACAACTGACCTCTCTGGGTTTCTTACGCTCTCTTTTGGTTGTGGGGTTGGCTGTATGACAAACGTCAAATCGCCCTCAGCGCGCCTACCTCCGGAGTCGCCAACGACAGATCGACAGGTTCGGCACTTACCTCGGACCCACGGTAAGATATCGCAACTACATGTGCTGAAAACAAAATATACGAGAGTAGCATTTCCGTCGCCGGTTCTTGTATTCTGAGCTTGCAAGCGTTCTGTGTCTGCAAGGGCCCATGCTCTTCTATGCTACTCCCTAAAATAACCATCCGCTTGACACATTTGTGCAGCTGCAGGATTTGTACTACAAGCCAACAGCCAATTTTCCCTTGCGATGTACCAAAATATGCTCCATCGGCTACATAGTTCACTTGTTGCTTGGTGCTGGCAAGGTGTTGTCCACGAGAGATTCTAGATCAAATGTATTCCTGAGTTTTAAACGACAATAGAGAGAGTGTGTGCCCACCGTATTCTCCCGCTGAAGGCATACCTGGCGTATCAGAGAACAGCTGCCCGATTGCCACGCACGTTAGTCACCGAATTTCCTCCTACCTTGAGTACAGGGCATGTACAGCCTAGCCACACAACCCAACCCCCCCAAAACGTCGGTCTATTGCTTCAAGCTGCTGTCATATTTCAGCATCACGAATAGCGTGAAGCATAGCAGAATACCCCCCACCACTACACCCTACGCCCATTATGCCGGAAGTGTAGAGTTCCGCTCCGCCCCGTCCCTATTACGTACAGAGCGCTCGTGAACACACGCTTGCATGCCTGAAGTGCCTGCAATGCAAACGTAGACTAAAGACCGCCCATTCGGGCGAATCCGGGTGCGCGGTAACGATCATGGTCGGTTACGGTCTCTCCAGAACAGTTTTCGAGGGAAACTGCAACTTCTAGCACGTGGTACTATTTTGTGTCGATGTTTAGTTCGGGCCGGTATCGGGGAGTCCTCATCGTGAGGGCTTGAACACGCTCCACTACGTCCAGATTACCGAGTCATTGAGTTTAGTCTTGATAACTCTCCTACACATAGACTACATCCTTGTGTCTCCTTCTGAGAACGAAATAGAAACAACCCTCTCACTTTGGTGGCTGCTGCCTGCGTGCGTGCCAGGGAATGCTACTGCGTGAGGTTCAGGGTGAAGCGCTCGCGCATCAACGGGAACACACGGCTAGCAGCCCAAGCAGCAACAATCGTGGACGGCAACACGACCAGCGTCAGCAGTCGGTTCCACCACTACCTGCACTGTCAAACTCCTCATCACCGGGGCGTGAGCCTCGTGGTCCTCTGTTGCTTCTTCCGCGAGCCGCTGGTTCCGCTCTATCCGGAGATGATGGACGCAGCCAGGGTAGCAGTGCAAGCGCCCGTGTGCACCAAGGAGTGGAGAGGCCCTATATGACAGGTTCCGACACCTCCCGGAAAGAATCCGGGCCAATGGTGCCTGCTCTTTCGGGGCCGAGCTCTGATTATCCTTCGCGTTCTCTGGGATTGGTACCTCCGGGGTGGGATATCGCCGAGGACGATGCCGGGAACAAGTACTACTTCAACGGTGAGACTGGAGAGAGCCGTTGGGATCCCCCGACACCCCTTTCTACCCGCGACAGCTTCGACGGAAGTGGTGCACGAAAGGTCTCTGTGTCTTCGGCGGCTGGCGGCGTTTCTGCCGGTGATCCGGGTGCTCCTGCTGACACCACAGCCGCCGCCGCTGGCAGAGATTTTTCGACACAAGCAGCAGCAGTAGCAGGAGATGCAGCCCACGGCCAGCTATCGGGAGGGGAAACGGTCCACACTAGGCGATATTCGGAGATAGCGGAAAGCAGCCATGGTACCGAGAAGGAAGAAGGTGGAGAGCTGCCGGCCTTTCCAGCAGGCGACGCGGAAAACGCCACTACCGACGCAGGCTTGGCCGAACACGTTGGTGGCAGTGAACCTCCTCTTCCTCTTCCGGATGGGTGGGAAGCTGTCGACGTGGGCGACGGGAGCATTTACTACCACCACGTGCTCTCGGGGCTAACACAGTGGGAGGTGCCACGCGAAGAAGAGCCGCATGAGATCACAACCGCAATGGCTGCTACACCACCAGACGGAAGCCCGTGGGAGGAGTTCAAGACCGAGGAAGGCGTGCCGTTCTGGTACAACTCTTCCACCGGCGAGAGCAGCTGGTCACCTCCCGGCCACCCCGCGGGTCGATGACCTTATTTCCCCAGAGTGCATAGTGCCTGCTTCCCATAGGTGTGCCCCAAGAGGCACCCTGGCTTCAAAGAGTGGGGTCATCAAACGGCAGCGCGGCGGGGACGGGTGAATGGCTGTGACGTTGTAAAGGGTAACCTCCACAAAGGTCTTCGTCGTCAACGCCAAAGGCGAAGCGACAAAGAGATATATGTGCGAGCGATGGCCCATGGACGAGGGTAACAGGGCGCAAGAAGCGGGTGACCGCCGAAACAAACAAGTCCTCGACGGTGGATGCAAGAGACACCGTGAGACACCCGTGCCAGGGGTAGTCAAATGAGAACGTTTCAAAAGTCAACCAACTGCGTTCAAAACGCTCGCCATGGACGTCGTTTGTGGGCACAGACGCCTGATCTGACTGCCTCACGCAGGGACAGCCGTGTCCATCCTTGTTGTTGCTTTGGTTCTCACCATAATAATCGTTATGACGTACGCAGTACCCCTTTGCCCCAGTAACTCAAAAGAAAGTGTAAAGTTCCCCAATAAATACCAATATTGCAAACGAACTCTAGTAGCCGCCGGTAGGCGCAGAGCGTCGAAAACAGCACGCCTGAACAACCCTCCGCCCTTTGCGCTTGAAGGCACCTTCAGGACTAAGCTACAGCAGCGAAACATTCAGGAGGAAGTGGCAAAAAATACGTGCACTCATACAGTACCAGCCCACGCCCAACATGGTCGTCTGGACAACTCGCCTATCGCGAAATTTCATACAGGCACGAAAAGCGTAGCTACCACCGGCCACAATTCCACCTTGGGGAGGCATGAATTTACGCTCCCACAATGCGCAAACGGTCGGATATCCTAACCCAGAGGACGTGAATCAACAGCAGAAGAAACACATGCAGCCTCCAGCAGTTGATACGAACTGCAAACGGAAGGGGACAACGTGAAAGAAAAATATCACACAGCGGTCAAAGTCTAGATACCCCAACCGTCCGTACCAGGGTGGACGCCAAGTAAAGTCAAGGGGCAAGAATATCAATCCTTCATGTACACGCGATCGCAACTTCAAACCACTGTACAACGTGTAAAATTATTGAAATTAAACCGGTATTGCAGTAAAAAAAAAGACCATAAGTGGCGAAACAAATGCACAAAAACACCGGCAGAACAAAACCCACCCCTCTTGTTACCCACCGCACCGCACGAACTCCCTTTTGGATACAGCTCAGTGTATCGCGCTTATAGCGGACCAAGTGATGCCTGTACTCTGCATACACTCGTCGTTCCAGTCCCAGCAAGAAAAGAAGCGGTGGGTAGCTCTCAGATGTAGCCGACAGTATAGTACAAAGGACAAGACACTGTCGTAGATGTAACCGCCATCATCATCGTCGTAAATCAACGAGAGCAAGCAAATTGCGAATAGATAGGCAGGCCTAGGTTGAGGCACACGGAAGCATCAGCATCTCATCAAAGCCGCAAACATGACATGCTGCACGCCAAACATTCAGCCTAGCAGTAATAATCCTAAGCCTGCTCCTCAGTTCGAAGCACACCGTACCCTGCAGCCAGCCAAAAAAACAACACGCGATTTCAAGCGCCCGTCTACGACATGTTTTTCGGCCCAAAGGCTATTGATTCCCGACACAAGCACTCCACGATCAACACGTAAACACCGACGCGTGGAGGCTAGGTAGCTTCAGCCTGAACCTCACTCACGGCCATGCATGATCTCCAAGCTTCAACCACATAAGTTGCACGCCGCCCAAACGTGAACTCTCCATGAAGAAAGCCATAAAATACCACCATGAACATCGACCAACTACTGCCCTTCGCACACCATGCCGAACCAATCTACCAGAACACCTTCGCCCTGTAGATAACCTCCGAACACATCTTCACCTCAACTTCAACTCCAGTTCGTCGCCTCCACACAGAGAAACGTTAAACCCGCACGATCGCAACAAACGCTAGATAGATCGGAGATAGCCTCCTCCTTTCTGCAGTCCGCAAAGGGGCGACAGGAATTCATCACGAGAAACACTGAATGAAGCAAGCCATATTTATTAACGTAAACGCGCACATACATCCATCTTCCACTTGAGGACCGTTCCAACGAAAGCGGGGTAACAAAAGATCGCGAATGCAACCTTCTTCAGCTCCTCCCCCGCTTCGATCGTGAACGTGCCCAAACTACTCACACAACACATCGCCGAACCAATTCGACTGAAAATCGTGCCCATCATTGCGGGCTGGGGCCCCTTCCACCTGCCCTTCCGCGTAGAGTAACGCCTTCAATGTCGGGGGCCTTGCGCATGCTCCACCCAAAGCCTCCAACTACAAACATGACAGATCTTTTCTCAGCAGTGCAACGTCCCTGCGAACGAGGCTTCGTGCGGTGTGGCGTCGGCAACATTTGCCTCCAAACAAAATGTGCAGGGTCTTGCGATCAGGCTCGTTCGGTTGGCGCAAAAGCGACCTCGTCATCTCAAGCCCCGCCTGCACTCAAGCCTTGCCCAGGCGAGGCAGACGGAGGGACGCCCCTTGTTCTGCAGTGCGGCGGGACACTCTTGTGTCTCGCTCAACCCTTGCGGGAAGCTTTGATGGCGGCGAATCCTACGATGCCGAGGAATATGACGCCGGCGGCCGCGGCAACACCGATTCCGATCTTGGCCCCCATGCTCAACCTTCACGCCAAAATCGCCAAATGTGAACGAAGAAGAGGAACGGAGGCGGGTGGCCCGTGCAGTGCGATGAGATGATACTGATACTGGAGATCAACGGCAGCAGATCAAGAAAAAGGGGGAAGGAGAACAATACTACGGGGGGAGTTGGGTACGTCTGAGGGAACGGATGGCAACAAATGAGAGGCGAGGCACCCTTTCTTCACCACGCAATATGCTACAATTGGAAAAAAAAAACGGTGTTTCTGATGATTTTTTCAAGGGCATGTTCTCCATACACCCCCCACCAAGCTGGTTGTTGCTAACCAATACCTGGTCAGAACGTCCGCGGTTTCTTCGTCACCGCCGATAGACCCGTGCATCATACCATAGAAGCCTCATACCATATGCATACATCGTCACCGTCACACCATGTTGGACAGAAACACGTTACGTAGCGACCCCAAACAATGAATCAACGCCTTCTTCCTGTGCAGTCTACGCGAACCGGCTAATCCTGGCCCAAAATCATCGTCCCATCAGCCCAGCCCCGACGCAACAATACCGATACAAGACTGAATACAAAACTTGTCCCTATCAGCACAGCCCCGACGCAACAGTACCGATACAAGACTGAAAAAAGATTTGTAATTTTTCTTTTTTCGTTCGCTGGGATTCGCTGGTCTGTTCGAGTCAGAGACACGTCGGCTGTATGAGTTGCTGAGCTTGGGAAACGTCGCACCGCAGCTGGCAGCCAGCTGCGGGTTGGTCCTGCTGCCTGCTATATTTGTATCACCCCTTCATGGCACTGTTGTGCTCTCATGAGTTAGCTCCGGAGGGATAACCTATATCTATCGAAAATATTGTGCTCCCTCACCCGTCATTCTTGTCGGAAGCATCGGCACCCCCTTCGTCGACACCACCATCCGGTGCGGGGGTTGGAATGGATCTGATATCCAAAATCATCGCATAAGACGGACCGCGATGGAATATTGCGTGGGTAGGAAACGAAAGGAATAGAGCACAAGAGACGGGACAGAAGCGGGAAAACGAAAGGAATACCGCAAGAGGAAGGGGAGAAAGGGGAGAAAGAAGGAGAGACACGCGCCAAATACAAGGGAGAGGACGACGAGAAAGGGGTCAAAGAAGACAGCCGAGAGAGCGCGAAAACACAGAAAAACGACCAGAGAAACGAAGGAAGGAAGGGCACAACCAAACGAGGACACGACGACGGGGATGATCACGGGTGAGATTCGAAGGGCGGAGATGGAGTTTCCTACGATACCGTCTCTTCGGCAACACCAACACTTTTCTTTGCGCATGACACTAGCATGGCCAACCAGCACGAAGAACAAAAGCACTGGAGCGCCATGAGACATTAGTCCCGGAAAGTGCAACTGAACCCAGGTGGGGTGATTTCCGTTCGTCCCAAGTACCAACGACTGTTTTTTCCTGGGTCGTGTGAAGAATGTACGTCTACCCTTTTCAGCATAGACGATGAAAATCACTGGAAAAATAAATAAATGTCGATCGAGTTAGTCTCGTAAAGGACAGAAGTTACACCTTGGATTGTAGACGAACGGGTGGTCAGCAACAGCAGCAACAACAAAACGGCAACCACGTCTACCACTACGACAACAACAAGAACAAAAAAAAATAGCCCGCCATCAACGGCTAGACTCCACTGGTAACAAAACTCACGGAACTGGCGTTTCAGTAGGCTCCGGCGTAGGAGCAACAGGTGGTGTGTCTGTCGGAGGATCAACGGGAGTAGGAGTGGTGACTGGCTGCGCACCATCGACGGCAGCGGGAGCTTCAGTGCTGACCAGTGGCGTAAATGTGGGGGTGATGGTACAGTCGCTTGCCGAGATAGTGAACACCGAGTAGTTGAACGCCCTGACCTGTGTTGCGTTGGGGGGGGGGGTGTTGATAATGGGGAGAGGGACAGGTGGTCATGTCTACAGCTTGTGACTCTAGTTTGATAACGATTTGGATTGGTGTCGCGTTGGGATCTGAAAGATGTCTCAAACCTCAGCGGGTAGGTTTGGTCGCGTGCTACGGGACCTCCTGATGCACTCTTGAGTGAGCGCGGAGTGTGTACATCTGTGAGCGATCCCAGAAGTACGGGAATGACGCATGCACTGAACACTTGATGTTGGCATGTTCAACATTTCCACTCGACCGGAGTGCAGGAAGATTATTGCAGCGTCTCGCACTTGCGGTGCTGTCGCGTGGTGAAGTCAACAAGCAGAGGTGACCTGTCGCGCCTACACCCACGGCCGCCCCCACATCCACATCGGTATCCACCGCCTTCATTGCAGTCTAATATTTCCATCTCTACGAGCTATCATCGTCTACGGCAACACGGCAAAGTGAGACATCTATCATCGCGTGTCCACCATCCACGTCCGGGTAGGCTAGGTACAGAGGTTCTGACGCCGAAAGGGCAAACAGCAAGCAGAGTTGAGATAAAGCCGGGGGAATGGTGACGTCGTGGGTTTGTTATGACGTCATGGATCGGCCACCATAGCATGACGGGCTTCCAAATCACTGCATCACCTCGACGTCGTCGTGGCCGCTTTCGAGCGTCGCGGGAACGCAACACGGGCACATGGCCCACGGTGGGCGAGAGGCCTCGGTGGCATTAGTTTCATCCCTGCGGCACAAGGAACGTAACAGAGAGAGAGAGAGAGAGAGAGAGAGAGAGAGAGAGAGAGAGAGAGAGAGAGAGGACGAGCGAGTTACAAGACAAGACACATCCACCAGGCAAGGGACGAGCACCGGTTCGCAGGCAAGCGTGGGTAGCCTTCACAATCGAGCAATGGGACGCTTACTCCTGGGTCACGCAGACCGCCAGGAGGGCGATCGTGGCGAGCTAGAAAACTGGGGATAAGATCTGGCGGTCGATCGTGGCAAGGTAGAGACTGGGGATAAGATCGGCCGGCCATGGGATAGCGAGACTGATCTTCAAGAAAGGAGGGCCGCCGCGTGAGAAGAGAGATGTTTCGGGAGATGTAGAAGAAGAGAGATAGTTCAAGCAGATATGATGATCGAAACGCATCAGTGGTGGATGAAACCTAAGGCCACAGCATCACACAATCGGATTCGGTCTTTCATGTAATGCCATGACATGTCATGGAGTGCATGTCATGGAGGTGGTGACCGGCCAAATGAGATGAAAAGTAACGTGTACCATGACTCGCGTGTAGATGAACGTGTCGATATACTTGCGAAAAGGTTACACACTTGATCGTCACAAATGATAATCACAGGCAGCGCATGCACACGTCGGCAGAATGACGTGGACCCACGTTTTGACAAAGAAAATGAGGTAGAACGGTGTGACGCCTTCAACTCACATGTAGATACCAGTAGACAGATAGCACCACGTGGACCCACTTGTCGGTGAAAATGAGACAGAACTCACATGTAGATTTCAGTGGATAGATAGCACGTCCGGCATTCGCGGATCCCGTCAGTGTAGCAGCCTTGAGTCCCCGCCTCGCATGTGCTGGCAAAAAAACAGCGCCAAACGACAAGACTGAAACATATCGTTACACATGGTATTTGGTACTCTAGCTGAAAGTCGCACCATTCTGGTTAAAGGGCACGGTTACTGCAATACTGCAGCAAACAGAGGCTTTCGCGTTTTCTCATGGTGGCAAGGATAGGACGCAGGGGACGGTTTTCTTCCACCTATAATGCAACCGCCCGCTTTAACATCCATTCGGCTCAGCTTCACTCGCAGCCAGAGATAGCCGCGCCTTGTTGTGGTGTTTGCTACACCCGGTACGACACCGGCACTCACAACAGGACACATCACGCGCAACAGCCTCTTCTCAGCCACTTCGGGTTGAAACACGCAAATCGCTGGCAGAGAGAAGAGGCAACCCGAATGTAGGGGAAGTCAAACTTCGTGACACTGCGACAGGGTGCCGGGGGGTAATTTTATGATGGCTTCACAACAACAAACAACTCCAAGCACAACACATACACAGACAAAAAATAAAGACACACACACATGGCCTTTGAGAAGCATTTTCTGTGGTCAGCCGCACTGCGAATGACGCATTTTCATTCGTCTGCCGGTTAGCGCGGTCGATGCCAACAATAAACACACACGCATGCACACACAGACATGGTCAGCCAGTTAGCGTGGTCGATGCAAAAAAACAAAGACACAGACAGACACAGAGACAGACACACAGCTCACCCGTCGTAGTAAGTGGAGGTGCCCCATTCCACCATGCCGATGGCCGTGGTGTTCAACGTGCAAGGATCTTCCTCCGGCAAGCTGCACAGCGGGTCGGTCGCCTCCTGGAGCGAGCGTACGCCCCCCCACTCGCCGCCGCCCAGGCCCAGTCTTGCGTCGTGCGTGGCGTCGACGTTACTGACATCGCCGTAGTTCTGCCCGGCGCGAAGACCACTCCAGCCGCTCCCCGACGACGACTGCGCCAATCCGATCAGAACGGCCGCCCCCGCCAGTGCACGCCGAAAATCGGAAACCCTGCGCTCGCAGAGGTACAGGCGGAAGGAAAAAGAAGGAGTATTGTACAGCAGGTGGAATAACCACGTTGGCAGATAGTGCTTGTTCGTAGAATGGTAGAATGGAGTTGACCGTTTCATATGGGGTCGAGCGAGGTTATTATAGCTGGTGTTCCCATCGACAGCCAAACAAAACACAACCAAAAGTGCGGTGTGTCCTGTCTTCTCCGCCTCGAATCACCACGCCTTACAAAACAAAACTCTTTCGACAAGCATGCCATGTGACCGACGCGCGTATCATGCTTTTACCACCGTGTCCACGATTCCTTTCGTCCAAATGCTCGTATGTGAGAAACTAAACGAATCGTCCAGCGCCTGCTGAGACAAAAACTGGCTGTTGTGTTGTGGGTCATCTAATAGGAGGTTGACTTGAGATTGATGGCAACTGACTGTTAGCTGTTGCTGTGGTCCTCCTATCAGGTGGGCTTGGCGTTGATGGTGGAGTGAAACGGTTCACCATCGGAACAACAAAGCGCGCCCATGGTCATGAGGCGAAACAAGTAACGCAGGAACAAAAGTCGGAGTATTCTACGTATATGCGAACGGGTTTTGTTGCTTCGGTCGGTACACATCCAACAGCAGCGGAGGGTCATGTTTCAGGTGGGGGGTGCCTTGCTCCCACCACCGAGTCTACACGCACACCATGCACACAGCTCCCGTGCAAAGCACGCATCGATGGCATTACATTGTTATTGCGTCTGGGGCTGACGACTCCGCGCCATCTGGTCTGTAAGCGGGGTTATTTGCCTGTCTTCAGAACTGCTACAGAGTGCGTCCCAACGAGACTACCGTAGGTAATTACGGAGACAGTTCAGCTGGTGAACGCTGTATACTGCAAACAAGGGAGCTTCAGAATAGACGCAAGCAGTATGCAAGTGTAGGGTGAGGAACCATTTTTCTGCCCTGGTTCGCTGTGGCGTACTGCTTCGCCCAGGTTCGATTGGGGCTCCAAACACATTTGGGACAGAGCCATATGCAACAACGGTGGTTGGATCGCACTAAAATCGCCGTGCTCGCGCGCTCGCGTTCACCCGCCCGATTTAGATCGTGGAAACGGGATAAGATAAGAAGGCCGTGACAAGTGTAGGGTGAGGAACCATTTTTCTGCCCTGGTTCGCTGTGGCGTACTGCTTCGCCCAGGTTCGATTGGGGCTCCAAACACATTTGGGACAGAGCCATATGCAACAACGGTGGTTCGCACTAAAATCGCCGTGCTCGCGCGCTCGCGTTCACCCGCCCGATTTAGATCGTGGAAACGGGATAAGATAAGAAGGCCGTCACCTGGGTGATGCGGTGGATTGAAAAGGGCTTGCGCGAGATGCGGACGCGTGTAGGTGTAATGTGTGGTAATATCCAAGGGAATGGCGCCTTTCGTGGGCACTTCCCGCCTGCACTCGTGGAAACAACCCACCTATTAATCAGTACCTGTGATGTGCGGGTCATTGTTTATTTTTCAAAGAAAGGCATGACGTCATGAGCGTTGCCGCCCGCCCGCCATGTGATATTTTTGTGGATTGCTATGCATACGACTTTCCCCCATTCCGCACCCGTCCTGGCTGCCACCAAATTAATGTGCGATCCATCCTGTTTATAATCCATCATCTGACTGTTGCTTCTCCGTGACCCGCGTGGTATAGACAAACAAAGGCGGGTTGGTCGACGTGCAATTGTAACCGGGATTCTTACGCGCCTGCACCCGCTACAATGCTACGACTGTAGCGTAGGGTTCGTCTTTTTTCGGCATTGTCAACGGCTTCCTTTTTTGGCGGCATTCAGTGGCGCGGCATTCAGTAGCGCGGCATTCAGTGGCACCGGCTCGTCGTGAGCCAACAAGGGGGGTACTGAGAGAAAAGGACATGATGGCATGAGGGGCGACACTGGCCCGCACGCTCTTGTCCGAGACAGAAGCACGAACATCAAGATATCCAAACCAGCTATTGCTGTGGATGTATCGGTGCCCATTTCCTAAAAATAATTTCCACAAAGGATCCGCTCGACCGGTAAGATTTTCGTCGAAAGTTGGCGGTTTATCAACTATGATCACTGCCTGCTGTCGCTGCTGCTGTGCTGTGCATGCATGCGCCCTACTCCACCTCACACGCTGGCAAGGGCCAATCTCCAAGAGGGCAGCCCCCCTGCCGCCGCTCTCCCCGCGCAGCCTGCCCTCCGCGTGCGATTTCTTTGTGGCACGGACGACAGACAGGCGTTGATTGATTTGCTTACACAACAACAACAACAACAACAACTTCTTCGGAGACCGCGAAAAAAGAAGGAACGAAAGACAATGGCGCCGTCTCCTCCTCCCTGCAACGCATCTGACGAAAGATAGCCCGGCAGGCGCTGACAACTGCAGGAGCAGTGTGGGCTTCTTTTTGCTACGCACGAGGATCTTGAACATGTTACTGGCCGATCTACATGTAGTCAGTCCCCAAAGCAGGTGTGGTTCTATGTGCAGCAGTAGGTCTCGAGCATTGCGATTTCCACGTCCGCGACGCTGGAGCAAGATCGCGCACCGGTCTGTTGTCAATTTTTGGACTGCTGTTGGTGGGGGTGCGCCGCTGGGTGTTTGCGATAGATACTTTATGATATTGCTGCGGTCCATGTACTACTATGATCCAACCACGCCGCAACCACCCCCCTCGCCCAAGGGCTTGAGTGCGTGCGGCTCCCTCTCCACATGCATTCGACGCCTGTGAAAAAAGATGGATTCGTTCGTGATCAACGGGTAGACTACGGGGCAAAAATATGATGCTGGATGTGCCGCATCATCCATGCACTCCTCCATGCACTCGAACTGGTCTTCTCGCACACGTACCACACTGCTGCCGGGCACTCACATGCTTCGTTTCTCGTCGTCTAGCCTTTTTTGTTCGTCGGTGCGCGGCGTATATTGGGGCCAGGATGTTCTCCGCGTTGAGCAGCCTGGGCGATCCTCTCTTCTTCGCGACGGTTCCCTCCCCTCTGATCCTGGTGCTGATGATGATGCTCTGACAGGCTTCGACGGTCTTGATGGCTCACAGAACAAAACACCTCGAGCGCACCGGTTTTTCGTATCTCTTGATCGGCGAGTAAAGCTCTCTCGTTCTCTATCGCTCTCTTTCTATATCTATCTGCTTGAAACGGGTGTAAGCTCGATAGCCAGTGGTATGATTCTGGCAGCAGTAGATACACGATGAAGAGAGACCGCTGCTGCTGTGTGTGGAGATCAGATGTGGAGATCAGATGTGAAAAACGTGCTGTGTCCCTCCCGCCAAACCAACGTACTTCTCTGTTCCATAAAAACCAAAGACATGACTATAAATAACCATGGTTATATAAAAACATCCATCAATCCATCAAGGGGGCTTCGCGGAAATGCTTACTGCAGGTATCCTGATTCCACGTACCCCCTACCTTTCGGACCCCAAGGTTTGTTGTTGCTTGCGTTCTTGTGTCTTCTAGCGCCAGATTTACAGCTCTCTCTCTCTGTTGTTTGTGTCCGTGCGTGTTTCTGTCCCTCTCCTCTCTCTCGGGGGGGATATCGTTAATTTTCTCGACGGCAAGTGGGGATTCGGCCGTGAGGGCGTAGCGTCTCTGTCCGTTGGAGGAACGCTTGTCTCTTTTTTTGTGATTTTGTGTGGAACGGCGGGAATCGAGCGAGAGCGCGGGGCCAGGGCAACAGACGACGGGGAGAGCGCGTGGGAAGCAGGAGAGAGATAGGGGCTTTCTGGAAGCAGGCAGAGAGACAAGGCCCTCTGAAGGGGAGGGAGAGAGAGAGGAAAGAGGCAAGGGGGAGGCAGAGAGACCGGAGGAGGGAGAGTGAAAGAAGAGAGCCCGCGAGAGGAAGAAGACAAGAGGCAGCGACGCCGGGCAGGGTGCGAGCGAGATGAGCGAGCTGTGTCATGTGTGTGACTTGTTTCGGACGGCGCTGTTTGGACCCACGAATACCGAGGACCACTTGGACGATGGCCTGGGTAACGACCTTCCTCGACCAATGGCGGACGCACCAGCAACGATGGGCGTAAGGTGAGGGGGCTGGATTTATGGCGTGTGCGGGTGTGCTAATTTCTAGGATGGTAAGACAGAACACAACAATCAGGCGCTGGTTGATCCAGCTGCTGTGGTAGATCCGTGCGACGCAGCAGTAGCAGCAATAGCAGCAGCAGCAGCAGCATACCTTTGACTGCTGAATCCCGCTCGACTGGCTGCGTCGACCGCAAAGTAAAGCACACCAATCGCCCCCTCTCTCACTCCCTTTTTCCTCTCCGGGGTGCGGGTGGGTCGCGTGTTTCCGAACAACGCAAATACTCCGGGTATGTATTGTATGCATAGTCTATTGTATATGAAAATTAAAGCCTTTTTTTCTCTCCGTCCCACTTTCCCCATCCTTTGGTCAAGGCGCCTTCTCTTACCGCCCTTTCTCTCGCTCTGTGTGGGTGCAAAGCAAATTTTTAGAACATCAGAACAGATATTGACTTATGAAAGAATGGATTAGTAGTTAGGGTCGATAGGAGAGTTAGCTGGGCTTGGATGGTTGGAGGATATTGTTGCGGTAAGTTGAGCTACTTTCTCTCCGTTCAGTTTGCGCCGAAGCTAAAATATATTATGTATACATTGTATGTAGCAGCTCGCTCTCTCAGCGGTTTCGGCAAAACTTTTTTCACCGTCGGTGACGCGGCATCAGAGAGCAGGGTCGCAAGAAAGAGGTGGCGAGAGAGGGAGAGAAACGGGATCTTCATTTCTTTTGGCCGGCTTCCTTTTCTCCGGTCACGTTTTACCCTCTGCTGTGCTCAATCCCGGCTCTCTTGTTCTTTTGTCGTTCACGGGCTGCGTGGTGTCGAAACCACACCCAGCAACGTGGACAGCAGCATTATGATAATGCATTGATAGAGGCACAGACAGACAGACAAGACAGAATTCCTGAGGGGCCGCCGTCGATGTTCTTGATTGACGTTTGTGATTCGTGGATCAGATGGCGCGTATTTCTCTTGCTCTTTTTTTTTTTGTGCCGGTACGTGTCTGTGTTTTGCAAGGAGCAAGGAGGGTGGTTCAGCTTCTGTTTTGAAGGCGATGCATAGTTCTTGATGTGCCTGCTGCGGTTCTCTACAGTTACTAGCCACGATCAGTCAGCGCTAGATTTCAATTGAAATTGGATAAATTGTTGGTGGAGGAGGCAAAGAGGTGCTTCCCTGCCACCCTTACCAGAGCTGCTTTTTGTACCGGGAGGGTTCGATTCGCTGAAAGGCCTCTCTTTCAAGCACAATCAGTGTGGTATTCTTCAGCTTGTTGTTTTCTTCACACGCAGCTTGAAAGGCAACCCTTGCTGCTGTCTATTTGTCTATTTAGTCAACAAAGTAGCTCCGTGGGCGAATTGTCCTCTTTCTCTCTCTCTGTGTGTCTCTTCGTTACTGCAACAAGTTTTCGAACTGTCACGGGGGACGATAGTATGTCACAGGCAGGACTACACTTTGAATACATTTGCTGTAGATTTCGGAGTCCGCCTTCGGTGAGCACTGAGCACGTACTCCCCCCCCCCCTTCTCCCGACCAGATAAATACCCGGCGAGTGTAGCCGCATTTCCAGAGACAAAATCAAGTATAGACATGGTGTACATCGCCAACAACAGCACGGCTACTGCTGTAGCTGCCAAAACATCAGAGCAGCAGCAGCAGCTCGAGGGCTCTCTGTCTTGTTTTTTTGTGGGGTTCAGGCAGAGGCACCCGCCCGGCTGGCGATCGGCCGTGGTCCGCTGCCGGCGAGCATTGTTTTTCTTTTTTTTGTTTTTGTCCCTGCTGTCCTCCGATACACAGAATCGTCCCGTTTCGTCCTTTTTTTTTTTCTTGGACTTCATCCACCAGCCTGCTGCTTCTCTTTGGGGGGTCTGCGTGTATATGGTATTTCTGTGTTCTGCATCACGCCCGCACCCGTGAAGTGTGTCGAGTGGGGTGGAGTGTGCGAGCAACACGAGCAACAATGACCCGGTACGCGAGTTCCCCCCCCCCCGCCCCCTCGAACGGAGATGGTGGGTCAACGAAACAGCTCTATCGGATAGACGAAAAAGGAATTATTTTCCAGCCTATCCTCTTGTGTGCACGTCTAGATTCCTGTTTCATGTTTCTAGAGCGCTTGGGGCTTGTTGTAGCATTCGGGGTGCGTGGCATCCTCCATAAGTCCTACACAGGTGCAGAGATGGAGCCTTGACCCCAAAACGAAACGGCTTGGTGATCACGCCAATCACAGAGGCCTTGATCATGTGATGATGATGCCTTTACGGACCAGCTTAGGGGGGGGGGGGGAGAGTATGCATGTATGCATACGAGCACGGATGGGAGCAGTGGTTCCCTGAGTTACTTGTCTTTGTCGTGAGCCTACAGAACAACAAACGCACTGAACGGCCTCCTCCATCCTCCATCTCCAGCCGCTGCTTGTGTTGGGTAGTTTCGGCGCAGCCTTCGGCTCAGCTTTCCCTTCTGTAGACCGCGCCAGCATGCACCGGTTCGCTGTTGGTTTACAGCGTCTTGTATTACCCCTGCATACACGTGTACTAGCTGGGTCTTCGCCACAATGGGTACATTGTGCATGTAGATCCACCAGCCGCAGCGGTTTGGCATTGCCACCCTGGTACGCAACGGTCTGCATGAATATGGTGCTCTCGACGGACATTTCACCCGTTCGTGACGTAAAACCTGCGATGGGCGAATTTCGCCGCATACTGTACGATGGGATCATAGATCATCCATAGATGACGCGGAAGCAATCGAAGAAAGACTACCCGCGTTCTCGATAATACCGACGATTCCCACGGATACCCGCGAATCGGTAGGTCCGCGGCATGAGACGTATGGTAATTTTTTCATATGGGTATTGTTTACAAAGGGGGTCCCTGCTTAGTGCCGGTATGTGCCCAGAATATTCACCGGCACATAGCCGGACCGGCACTGTTCAAAGTACTGACGATGACATGAAAATTATTATGTGCCCGCGGAAAACACCGGGACTATACGGGGGGCATTGGCACTATTCAACCGGCACTAAACAGGGACTCCCTCCGTCGAGTGTAATGTTTCCGTGGTTGAATGATTTTAGTTTTTTTTTATTTCACAGAGTGTCGTCCGAATGTTCCTTTTTGGAACTCGTCCACAACCAAGCTCATCATATGCATACCCGATCGTGTTTGGTTGAAACCCACACACACCAAGACACATAGGCATACAGCAGTATCCAAATTGTTGTTGTTGTTGTTGTTGTTGTTGTTGTTGTTGTCTTCACGTTAAAAATAGTTGCAATATCCAAGGATTCTGCCGGTGCATTCCGAGTATGAAGAAGATGCGCTAAGCGCAAGAGTACGGAACGCATCTGGTCCGCCTCGCTCTAAAGAAACTCGAAAGCGTGAATGCATGCATCCTTATCCTTATCCTTACCCACCGCGGAACACCGTCAACACAGTCTTCCGTGCATCGCCCACTCAGACCTGCCATTTTTCCGGCCTCAAGGTCGGCCAAAGCACTTCTCCTAGTATCCACCTCCAAAAGACTTGCAGCAGGACCAACCGGAAAGCATTTTTTTTTTCAGCAGCCGCATTCAACACAACACACGAAAATTACCCACCCTCGATCAATTTCTTGTCTGCTGTGCCTCCCTTTCTCAGACCAACAAGGAACCGGCAGGGGGCCTCGCAAACCGCCACGTCATCCTCCAAGCCTGGGTCCCAGCAGCAGCTTGCGGGAGGCAACGGAACCACGGCAACCCCGAGCATTGCTTCCGAAGCGGCGGCGCCGCGGGCGGCGGCAGCGGCAATGGCGGCGGAAGCAGCAGCGGGGCCAGCGCCGACGGTTTCAGCAGCGACGCCTGCTGCGGCTGCACCGGCGGCGGCGGCGGCGGTGACTGAGCCATCGGCTGCGCCTGCACCGGCGCCTGCGGCGGCGGCGGCTGTGGCGAAGCCAGTCCCGAAGACGAAGTTCAGCAAGCGCGCGTCGAGGGGGCTCAAGGCTGCCCCCGCCTACATGTCGTTCGACGATGTCGATGTCGAAGGTGAGTGACCTTTGAGTGGTTTGCTTTTTTTTAAATTGATAGACACAGCAGCATAGCACTGTAGGTTACTCACGCCCCAAGATATTGTTGTGCTCGCTCGTGTGTCTCTGTCGCTCGAACGAACGAACTGCCGTGCCGATGACTTTTTCCTCGTTCGTGTGCGTATGAAACAACATTGGTACTACATGTAGGCCGCTTTGCGCTCAGAAATAATGCTGGGGCATGAGTCAGTCATTTTTTTTCTGTATGGGATAAGCAGTAGTGTTAGAAGAGGAAGGTGTTCCTCGTATTCGAAAGGTCGGCGAATAAACGAAAGGGATCTCAGAGTTTTACGATGCCTGTCCTTTTTGTACTGAAGGAATGTGTTTTCTCAGAATGCATGTGTGGCGCTGGCGCGAGACAGAGAAGAAAGCAGACAATAGGGTTCCATTTTTGTAGTGTTTTTTTGCACCACGAAGTTCCGTCTACAATGGGTCGAGCTCGCCTCGTCTCATGTCGATTTTAAGGAACAGTATCGCTCTGCGGGCGTTTTATACTCTGCCTCCTGGTCGTCTCTTACTTCCTAGGCTGCTGTACTCAGACCGAACTCGAAAGCCGGCCCATGACTCACCCCGCCCAAACGATGCATCGTCAACCATCCAACCAATCGGAGCAGACGATGACTCCGACGGCGAACTCTTCGTCGAGGACTCGCGTGACAACCGCGGCTCGGGCGCCTCCCGTTCCCCTGGAAGCGTCGCTGCGCAGGCCGCCTCCTCCAAGTCCGCCTCGGCCTACACCGTCAACGCGCCGTCGGTGTACCGGGCGCCGAGCCTCGCACCGCCGGCGGCAGCCGCCCCCGCGGCCCCGGCCTCGAGCGACGCTCCGGCTGGGGGCCCCGAAGACCAGGAGGGGTACAGCGCTGCGGCGGCGGGCAGAGGCGAGGACGACGGAAGTTCCGGGGTCCCGGTGGCGGTGGCGGCTTCGGCGAAGGAGAACATGTCGAGCCACCAGGCGATCGCGGGAGATTCGTCCGCGGAGATATTGTCGAGCGGGAGCGGGCTCAGGGGGGGGCTGGCGGGGGGCCTGCGGCTGGGAGGGGAGCAGCGCGTGATGTCTATCCCGAGAGACGGGAGCATGCTGGAGGTATGATACTGTACGTGCAGCTAGGGTTTAGGTGTTACAGTGTTCCTCCGGTGCACTTTTTTGTTTCCGAACGTCTGGCAGGAGCGCACGGTGCAGGTGTGTATACTACAGCTGTAGATGTGCGATGGGTAGGGGTTGGCTTCGGGGCACCGTGTTTTGTCTAGCCGATGGCGCCGCCTTCCGGGGTGAGAGTGAAGGTAGATAGAGACTGCGGCGCCGTTGTTGGCGTTGCCGTTGGCGCTGGGTGCGGTGCGGTGCGGTGCGGTGCGGTTCTGCTGTCGGGTCTTCGTCCTGAAAGGGTGATGAAGCTGCTGGGGGTGGGGAGGTTGTCATTGCTGTGCTGGGGAAAGTGTTGATGTCTTTGGTTGGCATCGACGCGCGCCAACGCTCCTGTTGCGGCTGACCAATGAAAAAAATGCATTTTGCGTGTGCGTGTCTTGTGAAGAATCCCACTTTGTTGGACGTTGTTTGGAGATCTTTCGGCATGTTTGTAGACGCACCACCCGGGGTAAGTCAAACAGGAGCTACACAGGAGCAAGGCCATACAGAAATTTGTGCCGTTGCTCCGTTGTACTGCCGCTGTGCTGGCCCTTTGAAGTATCGCCCAAAACACTCAGGTTTTCTGTTTTCCAAGGTCGACCGTGTGTTCGAATCTTGCATTAAATAGCTTTAGTACACACGATTTAATCGCCGTGTAGCACATGTGTTGTTTGCGCACACATTACATCTGCTGTCAGCAACAAACTCCCAGTTCGTGTAGCTAAGCCGAGATTTCGAACTCACACCCTGATGTTCAGAACGTTCCGAGGTTTGGTTCCCAATGAACCAGGTAGTTATGATACGCGTGTGACCACAGCAGTCGAACTCGAGTCAGAAGATTCGGACGAAACCGAATGGTGAATTTGCCGGAAGCTCTGTATTTGTAACTCTCCACTGTTGGCGTCATTGGTAGTGGGTGATGGTGATGGGAGATTGATGTTAGCCTCACAACGTCTCTCGTTTTAGGATATGGGCGTAAGTGTGACGAGATGGAACCACGGCATATTGAAGGAAACCGTCGACAACCTGGGAAATGAAGGCAGAGCACAGAGAGAAAGATGACTCAACAGGTGTTATTGAGCAACGCGGTCGTCAAGAACGGTGCCCAGTGTCTTCACTATAGTGAGTAGGATGTGTGAGCGGACGTGATACAGGGGGAGCAGCGGACGGGAATGCCCTCCAATACCTACCTTCTTTACATTGGTAACCCCCCCACCCCCACCCCCACCCCCACCCCGTCCATGGTCTGTCTTGTCGATTTCTGCAGTCTGCCAGGCCCCATGGACAGTCGGAGTCTTTCCACGGATACAAGGGATACCCCGGGTACGAGCCTGACACGCCGGTAGCTCAGCAATTGACTCAGCCGGTGAGTGGCGTTACTGTACTGCTGTTGAATCGACACGATTGAGTACCTAGTCCGTACTGCTGTATGTTGTTCTCGTTGGCATGACTCTATCTATCTCTTTTGTTTATGTGTTCTCAACCGCCGCGTTTGTGTGATTTGATTCTTCGGGACCCTTGTTTTTGTCATGCTGTACCTTTGGGGCAGTTACTGTGTGTAGCCTGTGACGACGGGAAGGGGGGAAGGGGGACCAGTACTACGGATGTTAAAAGGTAGTACAGATATCGGAATAGTTTCTTTCATGCGCCGAGAGCAAACCCAACGTTCATCGTGCAGTAGAAACAGAGGGAGCCCCTGGGAGGCTATTCGTCCGCAAAAACAATGCACACCCACGAAGAGCGATCGATCGTTTCGTCGCGTGACGCTCCATGATGTGTTTCCCCCCCACTATAATAGATGCTTTGTCCGCACTGTTGCGCGTCTTCAGCCCACCTGATGCAATCATGCAACCTTGACGTTGACACGAACCGCTGCTCCACGCGCTGCTGCTGTAGGGACGTGCTCACGCGACGGACGCGCTCACCATCAACCCGGGGGCGGACGTGTCGGATCCCCGGACAAAACACGCCGGGGCGGCTGGCCCGACCCCTTCCAGCGTCCGCTTCACTCCGCGGGAGATGGAGGTGTCGTCGGAGATAGGGTCGACTATGACCACGGTGGAGCAAGAGGAGCAGCAGCAGTACCAGCAGCAGCAGTATCAGCAGCAGCAGGCGTTGGGCGTGGACATCGACGGCCGTGATGACTACGTCGAGGTTAGGCTTGGCTGCGAAGGGGAGGGAGACGTGAATATTCCCAGCAGGGGGTGCTGTATTTCGAAACGGTTGGCCCGAGCTCGCCTGTCTTAGGGGATGTCAATGTCAGTGTTCGTAACACCACGAAGTAGAAACCCGCATGTTAAGATAATTCCAACTGCTTGTATTGTTCCGGCTTGGACCCGTATGCTGATTGTTCCGTGCACATGGATCTACGATGACAGGAGCAGCAACAGCACCAGCACCAAAACCGACAGCAGCGACGACAGCACCGACAGCAGCAGCAGCAGCAGCAGCCGGTCATCTCCCCTTCCGGCACGACCAGCATGGAGATGGCCACAGGCTTGCGGCCTCCGGAGCCAAGGGGCCGCGCGGCTCAGGTGGAGGTGGGTGGTTAAGGCCTTCGAGATGAGCTTTCGGCATCAGTTGTTGGGTGTTGGATTATGGCCTTGGCGCAGCAGTGAGTCTAGCGCACGTGTGTGTCCGCGCCCCGTCGCCATGGTTGGGAGAATACCGTAAGAGTCGGAGAGATGGCACCCCCGTGTTAGCGTTAATTTGTATCGTATTTCTCCACAACTAGGAGGGTGTCAACACCAACCGATATCTCTCAGGAAAGCCCTCGACGAGATGGTTCCAAAACTACCCTTTTCGGCAGTGGTACAGTACCCCCTGGTTGTGGAAAATAAGCTATACAAAAACGCTAACACGGGGGAGCCATCTCTCCGACTCTTACGGTACTTACCATGGAGCAGCAGTGGTTGTTGGGTTGTCGCCTGAGCGCAGCAGTCAGTACCGCGCACACGCCCCTCCCCCCCCCCCCCCCCAAGGGGTGGGAAAAATGTCCACCCTGCCCGCCCCCCTGTGAAAATTAAATCCAGAACCCCTCTGGGTTTTGCTCCCCCCAAGCGATGTGAATGTTTTAAATTCCGGGAAATTATGCACTTCCTCCCACGTGGATTTGCCGTGACCTTGGCCCCCCCCCCCCCCCATCACGGTCTTACCTGTGCCC